CAACGAAATGAAGTAATAAAAAGTCGATGGAAGTACACCACTTTAAAATGTAGCAAATATGTTGAACATTTTGAATCGTCAAGACATACGAATTGATATACATTTGCTATTTGGTCAATAAATTATCACAGAAATTCTCTGGAATAAGCTTTATGATTCGATTTGCTTGGGAACAACATAAATATTTTGCTGATCAGAATTGACATGTAAAAAGGTTAGAAGTAAAAAAATAGAGCCATTGCATAAACGAACATGTTAGAACGAGAGTAAAATGAATTGAAAGGGGGACAGCGAAAGTGTTAGTGATAATGACAGAACACCTTCGACGTGACCTTTTCAACTATTTCAATTATTTGCCATTGTAGCTCCACTCTCTATCCATTTCTCCCGTTCTCTTTCTCATGCACACACACATACAAAAAGTGTGTGTCTCGCTGTTGTTGTTTCTACTCCTTATGAACTTTCTTAGGTTGATTTGATGGAGAGGCTTTGGATTTTCTATTTGGAAAATCTTTTTTGTTTGAAGGTTGTTTTGAAGGTTTCACCGACTCATAATAGCATCATTTCACACATTCCATTTGGTGTAGACGATGCTCTCCTTTTGCGCCATATATTTTGGGCGATAAAAATGAATTCAAAATCTCTAATATTATTTTCGTTTCTCATGTCATAAAATCTATTGTTTGTTAGTGCAATTCGGCAGCACTCAAGACGATGCACGAAAATACAAACAAAAAGATAAATAACTTTAAAACTCGCAGCGATCATATATTTCAGTGTATATTTTGAGGCAGATTTGCATTAAATTGCATCGTTTTTTCTTCTTCTGTTTTCTCGCTTCGTCGTTTTGCGCTCCGTATATCGCATTGGAATCGTGTGTTCGGAATTGTTGTAGTATGTATTCCGTTCATTTGGAAAATGCAATAGTGAGTGAATAGATAAGACGATTTTGGTGTTAATGTGAATGAATGACAACAAAACACAATCTCTAATGGAAACAATAACAAATACACATAACAATTAATGCTTATGCTTTCGCCTGAAAGAGTCAATGTTCTTCAATTCTTAACTTTGTAATGACTTCTTATCGAAGTTTTGTATCACTTTTGTGCATTGCCATTGCATTCGTCTGGTATTTTCGGTTCAATAAGATAATCGCTTATTATTTGTGGTAGTGGTGTACGGGCAATGTGTATTTTTTATACAAGAATTACGGTTTTTATTTATTGACACACATTAAACCAGACAAATGCCATGAATAACAAACCAAATTGAAATTATTTACACAGTTTGTGTGATAAATTTGTCTTTGATTAAATACTTTAATCGTTCACCAAAAGCAAAATTAACACAAATTAGTACAATACTAAAAAAAACCACATGCACAAACATATGAAATGACGAAAACCATTGACTCTAGTACGAATGCCGATCTGAATAGGAAAAACAATCTTGAACGGCCTTTGATAATTTAAAATGTTCTTTGCACCGTACACACACATAAAATATGAGCGTGTTTTGTGTTACTGTGAATAAAGATTTTCCCCCGTTTCGTTCATCAGTTTGCATATAGCCTTGAAGACCACATACGCTTTTTAGTTAGTTGACTCAATACAATACGCACTGACCAAATTCGTAAGCTTTTGCAAGTGCGGGAGAATGTTTTTTGTTGTTGTAAAAACTTACAAAGAAAAACCATTTATTATTTTTTGTGTAGAAGATTATTTTTGTGCCCGGTTATAACATGATTCCATTTGATTTTTCCGAAAATCAATGTGCCACATTATTCTTGAACAAAATTAAATAACATGTAGTAATGAGCGAAAAAGGCAAGAAAAAATCAATTAGGTTTTGATGCAATGCACAAATTAAAGCAAAAAAAAAAAACACTTGAAAATGCAATTTCTTATTAAATTGTTGTTGATATTCTTCGTTGCATGCAAGAAAATAAATTTATTTCATGTAAAATATACGAAGTCACAATGAAAAAAGAAATGAGAACTTATCAAACGATTTGAAATTTTATATTCATTCAATCATAATAAGATTTGTACCGAACAAAGCAAGAAAACACGATGCGTTATAGATAAATCATAGCCATTTTGTGTGCCTAATGGACACACATCCCATACACCTGTTCATTATTATAATTACTCAAGGCGATTTCAGAGGTGGAATTCCAATGTAACGGATCAAAGAACCGTCATACACATAAAGCAGTTTCACATTGGACAGTTTTATGTTAAGAGCATTTTGAAAAAGGTATGCAAACTCAAATGGAATGCATATATTAAAATTACCTGAAAGATATAAATAGCTCGGCCATATAAAACATCTCTTATTTCAAGAAAAAATTACCTACAACACAGAACAAATGTGAAAAAATCCACTACTAACAGAATAATACATGTCGAACACATTATTAATTATGCTTATGTTTTCGCTGGGGAAGGAAAAATTAAGCCGAAAATCATATCAAACAAGCTTATATATGTGCATCAAAATGATATAATTAGTTATTTACAAGCGATGCGATGCCACCGACGTTTTGATAAAAGAAAATCTCCGAAGATATTCTATTTTTTGACTCTCACAATTTCAGAATATTGTATCGCTATTTTTAGTTGAATTTTCCGCAGACATCTTTTTTTTTAATCAAAAATGTTATATAAAGCATATAACAATCGATTCACCGAAGATAAAGAAAATATTTTGTTAGCAAAAATACTCCCTCAATTCGTGCGATTGAAGACTCTTGAGATAGTCAATGGTGACTACAATATTTTCCATTCTGAAATGATATTAAAAATAGATTCGTGTGAATGAAATTGTGGACCGAGAGCGTACACAATTTTATTCTATTGTATAGTTACTCAATTTGCAATTATTTGCATGCAAAATATTTTGTTATCGTTTTTCATTTTCAAAGCATGAAATGCATTCCATTGAAGAAGTCGGTTGCCAAATATTGCAGTTGAAATTACAATTATTTTCGTTGTGCGTGGATAATTCAAGTGGAATGTCAGATTAATGCGAACCAATTCAAAATCATAGTCCAGTGTCCTCTCACTGATAACAATTAATTTGGAAACCATTCAATTATCAAAATTAAATTTAATTAAAACTGTAGGACGATTTTTTTCGTCTTCTGCTCAAAATGTATAATTTCAACAAAACTCGAATGCGTCATTGAAGAGATATAATGAAAAAGAAGCAATAAGAATGAATGTTGAGGAAAAAAACTCATTTGCATATTCGTTTGCGTCTAAATTCGACTTTGTTCACAAATGCACCAGAAATCCATTAAGATTGCACAAATCCGATAAACAAAGTAAAAAATCGAATGAATTTGCGATATAATATGAAAAAGAGATTTATATTATATACTGTTTCTGATTACAGCTCATGTTTTTCTGATTTATTTCATTTTTGTGGCATTCAATAGTTCATTGCAATAAACGTCATTTGTTTATCTCAAACAATTCTCGGTCGGTTTAAATTGTATAATGTGAAGCGCGCTTTATGATTCATCATCTCACTAAATCAAGCTCAATTTTCAGACAAATTTACACATTTGTAGACGAGGTAGTATTCAAATTTTTGACACTTTTTCACTCTTTCACATTATCACCCAATGAAATTTCGCCCATTGACCTTGGAGAATTCCCATTTTTTTAACTATCTAAAAAAAAAGCTAGGGGCTTAATACGGCAAAAAAAAAATTCACAGGAATTCACGGTTTTAAATCGAGTTCGGTGAAAGTTTGAATCGGTGAATTCGTGTGAATAGAATGAAATGTGTCAAAGTAATAAAGTGAGGTTATGATAACCGCAATATTTTTTAATTTATTATTTTTTCAATATTTCCGATTGTTTTCGATAGAAAATCGCTCAAAATTGAAAATAAAATTAATTTTTATTAAAAAAATATAAAAAACATTTACAATTTCGTTACACAAAATATGAATATTGCAGTAATTGCCAGCAGAAACTATTCACCACTATCTCACATATTTGAATGAAATTGCCGTAGAATTCACTGGAATTCATTCGTTTGCTGAAAAATTTAGTTAATTTAGATATTATTATAGAATTCAGTCGTTGTAATTTTGAATTAAGCCCCTTAAAAAAAGTATATCAAAGTTGTATACATTTATACAGCAAAATAATTGATTTATGTGTTAAATTAAAGTTGACAAATACTCAGCAGGCCTCAGATACTTTATTATCATATCAATTTGAAAATGCTAGAATATCTTTTGCAGCATTCCAAACGGACGTAATATTTTTGTTTTAACTCGTTCTGTCGCTATTTTTGAATTATTAACGATAATAGACAATTGTCTTCAATAAAATTATTAAACTTGACTACTGATATAGAAGATAGTTTTTCGTCGTATTGTATAAATTGCGCACGATTCACGACCGAAAAAAGTGCGAAAGATGAAAATTCCCCACAAAAACACACCAAAATATTTCACAAATAAATATTCTCAAATAAAAAATGAATTTATTTAATAATTTGAAAAGTTTTTTTTCTCATACCGAACTTTGTTTACGGTTCGCATTGCTCAAAAAAGAAAATTCTACTGTTAATCATTTGATGCTATTTTACAATTATTGGAACAGAACTTTTCAACACTGTTTGAGAAACTACATTGAGCCTTAACTACAAGATATCGGTCAAACTACGTGACAGTTCAATTTCTAAGATCATTCCATTTCTGCAAATGGTTTTTAATTGTGGCATATCCAACCATGACATTGATACCCACCTGTTTAACAAAACGCAACGCTGTTTGCTACATATCGCTGTATGCAATTTCATTATTATGACATTTTCATAGAACTATTTTGTAAATCAAAATGCCAAACATTCAATAATCCACTATATCTAAAGTTGAATGCAACAAGAGGAAAAAATATTACCGTTATTGAGAATTATAATTTGCATTCTGTAAGATTCATGAAATATTTGCTTAAAAATTGAAATTCACCGAATACGATTGACATAATTTTATTAAAAATAACATTTGATTGAAATTGACGGGGCTTTTAAGTTTATTGGATTATTTTAATCGTTTTGAACGATATTATGCCAAAACCATTTGCTCGCAAGTGGTACAATAGGTTCTAGGTTCGCGACACGAGTTCATGCAGTAAACACAAGGTGCACAAAGAAAAAAACTAACAAGACAACACCAGAGAAATGCGATATGCGTTTTTCATGTGCTTCGATAACCGATTTGCGTCATTAGCGGTGATTGACAACTCGTGCATAGCTTTTTGTGCACATCTAAAGAAAAAAAGAGGATGATTTGATGATGAAATGTTTGATGTTTTTTTTTTGTTGTTGTTGTTGAACAACTATTTACAAACACTCACTTTTATTAATATTATTTCCTTTTGCGATTGGGCTCGAAGTTTTATGTACGGACTGAACTTGAACTGCTGTCGGCACTAGAAATTGTACATAAACCGGTTGTTGGTTTTGAATTTGTGACTGAAACTGAGATTGAGACTGTGCTTGATTGTACAGAACGTTGATCGGTAGAGTTTTTTGGATCTCTTCATATGATGGTGATGGTGGTGGTGGTGGTGCACTGGGAGCATACATCTAAAAAAGCAATATAAACGTCATATAAATCCAGAATTCTCCATCATTTTACAATAAACTTCAAACAAAATCACACTCACGATCACTAAACTCACAATGTTTAATGATACTCCAGCAGAAATGAATGATTAACTTCCAATATTTTTTCAAAAATGTGTATTAAGCCTGTGGATTTCTAAAGCAAATTATTGTTTCGGACGTTTGACCACCGTTTAATTTACGATAAATAAATTCCGACTAAGCAATTGACGAAATTGATGGTTGAATTTAAATTGCCTACTTTGTAAAACTGTTATTTGGTAGCTTCACCAAACTGCAGAAAATGCAATTTACTGAAATAGGTTTTAACTAAAATTGTGTTATTTGTATTGGAAGCAGTGATGGGCACATTAGCTGGCTAACGAATGTGTAAACCAGCACTAATACATACATATATACACTGAGTTGAATGTCACTCATAAACGTCAGTGAGAATCGTACGTAGTCACACAGATAGCTGGCTAACGATTGGCATACACCAGTTGTTGGTGTAAACCAAGGCTAAGACAATGCTGGCTAACGAGAAACCTTCACTGATTGGACAAAAAAAAATCAGTCTTGAACTTCAAAAGTGTGAAAATGAATATTTTTTGAAATCAATGTTTTTTTTTTCTTAAATCAAGTGAATTCTTTTCAACCAATTGTAAAATAGTTTTTAACCGCCCACGTTTGCGTTCACAACATCATTTTTTCTTCTTTTTTTGTTCAAGTAAAGTGATAATACTTGTAAATACTTTTTAGAAAGAAATCTAAATAAGGCACTAATCGTCTTCTCCCTTATATTCCAATACATATGTCAGTCCTACACAAAAACAACAAGAACGTTTCAAATGTTAATACCCCATTTTAAAAGCATTAAGTGTGATTTGAAGATTACCACGCAGTACTTTATTTTAATTTAGTCAAGCGTCATTATGAACAAATTTCTTATGCCAACATTTTATCTTATGCTGAATCTATTTTTTTTTTTTAATTTCAAACCTTAATTTGTTTGTTATAATTTGCGCAAGCTTTTCAACCAAAAATAAATCACAGCAACACCATACTGCCACACGCTCGACAATACACTTGAGGTTCACGGCATGAGTCCACGCAATAAACGTATGGTGCGCATAGAAAGCAACTAAAAATGTCACGATGCCATTTAGAACACTTGAGATATTCCGCGTTTATATTGCATTTTCTTACCAAAAGATGCAGCACAGCAAAAAAGTCAAGTGTGTTTTTCCCGTTGCACGATAACCAATTCGGGTTCGCAATGGCAAATGGCATCCGGTACAGAGTCTGCTTTGAAAACCACCACTTGTTCCTGTGAAATGAACAAATGTTTTTTAGTGGTCGTTGCTGTTGTGACTAATAGCCTTTTGAAAATGAATTTAAATCGATTAAATCTTACTGCTGACAATTGCAATTCGATTTGATGTAATGTCTGCACTTGGCGATGAATTGAAACGTTGAGATTGAATGGGAATTGAAAGTTGGGGTTGCGTTTGAGTTGGCACATCGATTTGGTAGTTGTGTGAGGTGTCGTTCGGCATTTGATTTAAAACATCTTCATAGGCTGGAGGTGCGCTTGGTGTATACATCTGAAGTGAAATTCCACATGAATTTTCAACAATTACGCAGCCATTAATTAAAGTAGTTTCGCACATATTTCCACAAAATTACTTTCAGTTTACAAAATACAATAAATGGTTTTCAAGCGAATGAAACTTTTTCGTCTCAGCGTTATGAAGTGGAAATTAAGCAGAAATAATTTTGGTTCTTTCGCAACGAAACTTCTTGTAAACTCACCGTGTCGATGAAGAAATAATTTTTCCACCAATATAAAAGCAAGTTACTTTGGCACTTAATTGAAAGGAACTGCAGAATTGGAGAGGGGCATGACGATACTTAAGTGCATTATCTTGAGCGATTGATATATTAGTATCAATTTATCAATGATGGTTGTATCATTATCATATTATCGTTGTCTGAACACGGATATCAATATTGACAAATATGGCATGATTTACGTATGTTATACGTAATATGGCAAAAGCATTCGCATCAAAGACCGAATAGATAAAGTAAAATGGTCATTTTTGATAAGACCAATTTAATTGGTTGAACATCGATGATAATTTTAACCATGATATTTGCATCAATTTAATCTTGGCACAGACATTCGTAATAAATTTTGTGTCAAAGGTGAAAAAGAAATCAATTTCATGATCTTTTGGAATATAACTTATAAATGACATGTACATCGATTTCGTACATGTACATTAATTTCTCCCCATTTAAACGACCTTCACACACAGCAAGTACAATGAAGCCAACGAATTGGAATGAAGGTGTAAAGCATGAATAAAAAAATTTCTTGACAGCTCACGTGAATATAGTGGTTTTCTCACAGCTCCTCTATAGACATAATCGCACATGAAATTATGGTGACAATTGCGCAAATACCGAATGCCTACATTGAAATCAAAATGAAACCATTTCAAAGTAATAATAAATGTATGAATGATGCTGTCGACGTCGTCATCGCTGTCGTTTGTCGCAAATGTTGAATTGTTTTGTCAATTGTATTGCTTTCAGATTCGTGTACATCGTTCATAGCTGTGTTCTATTTATGAATTGTTTTTTTTTTCAGTTGCGCTAAGTTAAGTAGAATGAACGCTCTTGTTGATTCGATTTGTTTTTTTTCTTTTTTTGTTCAACGGTTCGGCGTTGGGAATGTAAATACGCACATTGACCCACACACTGATTGCCAACACTTGAATACATCGTACAATCAAACTATTGTGAGAACTAAGCTCTATCACTTATGTATTTTGATAAGCATGTGGTAATTTTCACAAACAGACAATTACAATAACAATAACAATGGTAATAAGAATAATGGATTGTAGACAATTTGAATCAGCAACTAAACACAGATTGCATCGTCGTTTTCTTCTATTTCTCTATTTCTTGATACAAAAATTTATCGAAGGTTATTTGAATTGGTGTGTTGGGTTTTCATTTTTAAATTCTTGGAATTTTTCATTTAAAATTATAGGTATTTACGCATTTATCACGTTTGCAAATAGTAATTATGTGTTGTTATTATTTATTTTCAGTTGAAACAGCGCATAGACACCACAACTGATTCAACACAAGCTGAACACATTTCAGAGATAATCTATGGAACAAACGACGACGACAAAATTGAGGCAATTTTAAAAGGGATCGCTGGCGAAACGAAGACATTTTGACTATCGAAAAAACAACGAAATCATTGGACATTTCAGTCGCACCACATTGGGGAAAAAGAGATAAATTGAAAACACAATTTGTTTACATTTTTGATCTGTTTGTCAATACTCAGCTAAGAAAATCTCATTGAGTCGTTCATTGAGAAGATCGGCAAAACACACAAATTGCATTGCATTGAGAATCCGAAAGTCGGCTTAATTTTTAAAGAAACACAAAGATAGACATTTGTCGTCTTTTTATTCAATAAAAGTGGAGCACACAAAGAAAAACACGATGGCATTTGCTGGACTGAAGAAACAAATTAATAAAGCTAATCAGGTGAGTTGAAATCGAATGATGCTATCACCCAGCGAAAAAAAGTGAGTGAAAAGGCAAAATATAACAATTAATCAAATTGCATAAGATATAATTGATGTGTTTGCACTTTCTCTTATTGTGTGCAGATATGTGAAATAAGAAAAAAAACGCATTTAAAAGAAATGAAATAAAAAAAACCAGATTGTTGAGGCGCGCACACAACAAATAACCATATCACTCATTACAAGCAATAAATTGAGATTGTTTGTAATGAAAAATGAAAAAAAAAAAATATATAAAAGAGGCACACGCGCTTTTGAAAGCGAAATCGAAACATATACTTTTATGGTAGGCAGTACGTGTTAATTATAATTGCGTTAATATGCGGCCACTTAACCATTTGCCGTAAACATTTAGCACGTGTAATTGTGTTTCTTTTTTTTTCTTTAATTTTCATTTTCGTTGAATTTTTCGCGATCATTATGTTGCAACCGCTTTAATTGGCTACATCCGAGCTTATGAATCTCGGATTATTCTTAAATACCATCTCAGGCATACTCAATTGTTTTTTTTTCGGTTTCTTTTTTTAATATTCAAAACGAATGCGTATGCCTGTTGTATTTTTACTTCAAATAAATCGATGCTATTTTCAATTTTTCTTCTCTTCAACCTTTTAAGTATGTTACCGAGAAAATGGGTGGCGCTGAGGGTACTAAACTAGATTTAGATTTTATGGACATGGAGAGGGTAAGTGAATTTCAATTCAATGCGCATCTTTTTTTTTAACTGTTGAATTTGTCTTATTATTTGCAGAAAACTGACGTAACAAATGAGTTGGTTGAGGAGATACAAATCAAAACCAAAGAATTCCTTCAGCCGAATCCAACAGCACGAGCTAAAATGGCTGCCGTAAAAGGGATATCGAAGTTGTCTGGCCAAGCTAAAAGCAACACCTATCCACAACCAGAAGGTTTACTCTCCGATTGCATGCTTATGTATGGCAAAAAGCTCGGTGATAATAGTATTTTTGGTATGATATTCACATGTTTTCGTGCAAATGGGAGTTGCGATTTTTCTAAAAATGAATTTTCGTTTTACAGCGGAAGCTCTAATTGAAATGGGTGAATCATTGAGACAAATGGCTGATATAAAATACTCACTTGATGATAATATCAAACAAAATTTCCTCGAACCATTGCATCATTTACAAACGAAAGATCTGAAGGAAGTTATGGTGAGTGAATGAATGAGAGTTTTAAGAGAAAAAAAAACCGTTCATTTGGTATTGTGTTTGTTTCATTCGGATAGCATCACCGTAAAAAATTGCAAGGACGGCGTTTGGATTATGATTGCAAACGACGTAGACAAGCAAAAGGTAAGGCCATACAATGGAGCGGCACATGGAATTGTGGATACTGAGCGCGCGCAAAATAAAAATTATGACATTGAAACACTCTGATTTTTTCATGAAAAAAAATTGCATTCCATTTGTTGCATTAAATCAATTCAAACAACATTTAATTGCATTTTAATCGACATAATTTATTCAATGATCTATTTATTTTCGTTGTTGTGATTTTATATATTTATAATTTCTTATTTTTATTGTTTTTTTTTTTATTTCTTTTTCGGTTGATTTGACGTTTGCTCATTGGAAATTGCATTTAAATTGGCCATGATGCTGGCAACCATATATTTTACTTTTCCATCATTATTTTCATCCTTTTTCATGATTTCGATTCGTTTTGGAAACATTCTTTGGTTTGCATGAATGTTGAATGCAAACAAAAATAAAACCAACATTGTTATTTTAAAACGAATGGAAAATTCACAAACAAAGGATCTCATATTACAGACGATGAAATACGTGGTGCCGAGGAGAAATTTGCAGAGTCATTACATTTAGCCCAATTGGGAATGTACAACTTGTTGGAAAATGATGTAAATATTATTCGCATGAAAATTTGTTACATTGAAAATGGCAGCAGTAACGTTAAATTCAATACTAAATTATAATTTAGGTGGAACAAGTTTCGCAGATGTACACATTTTCTGAAGCATTACTGGAATATCATCAACAGTGTGCTGATATTTTGAAGGGATTAGTTGAAACACTTCAAATAAAGTGAGTGTCGTGGTCTTCAAATGAAATGCCATTTTTAAAATCTCATTGGGATACAAAGTTGAATATGATATTTCGATAAAAATGCAAAGAAATTATGGAATTTTTGTTAAATTTGTTTCAGGCGTGATGAGGCTGCAAGCCGTCCAAAGGGCGAATTCGTACCGAAAACATTGGCCGAATTGAATATTGAGGGTGTTGGTGTCGGTGTCGTTGGATCCGATGGGCTAGGAAATGGTGGGCGTTATTTCTCATCCAATTCACATAAAATGAATCATCAAAGTAGCAATACCAAATTCAACAACAATCACAAAAATTACGAAAGCAGTAAAAACAATTTATTCAATAATAAAACAAACAATAGCATTAGCAATAGTAACAACAACAATCAGTACAATATGTTCAGCTCACAGCAGAATTTGGCGAAAACAAATATCATTCATAGCAGTAATTTTGCGAGAAGTCGAACATACGGTTCACAGCAAAGCCTATCGACCGCCTCAAATCACTCATCATCGTCGTCGCACCGTACAAACAATAATAACGATTTATTATTGAATTTCAATAGTACAACAATGACAAATAGCCATACAAACAACATAAACAATTGCAATTCAACGAATAATATGTTGTTAAGTGATATGAGTGCGATACCAACGGATGTATGGGCAAATGCATGGAATTCCCCGCCGTCAGTAACACGGACGCCAAATCCAGTTCAGTTCCCATCCGCAAATATGTCAAATATGGCAATGCATGCCACTCAATCAAATCACATCACCACCACCACAACGACATCGAATAGAAATCATTTTAGTAATTTTAATAATCAAAATGGTCACATCAACGATCCGTGGACAGGTGAATTTTAATTTCCTTTTTTTGTTTTTTGTTTTTCACTTTCATTCATCCTCAGCAATAATTTATATTATCCTTTTTCAATTCATTTCCTTTCTTTTTTATTTTAAACTTTATTTCCTCATCCACATTTATTCCCATAGTTATAATTTACCATTTCTTTTATTGGGTTTAATATTACATTTCACTGGTTTCGGTTGCTCAACATCGGTTTTTTCTTCTTCTTCTTTTTTTTTAATTGAATCATCAAATCCATCCACGAATATTTGGAATCGATTGCAAACTTCGCATCTTTTCACTCGCACACATTTGTCAGTTTTTTTTTGTTCGACTTCGATCATGGGAGCATCGTTCATACAGGAAAGGTTATTCTGTTTGAACAAATGCATTTTGAAACGTGATAAGAATCCATGGAACTTTATTTCCAATTGTCATTGGTTTCAATGCAAAAAAAAAGATCCAACGCACCACAAAATCGATTGCAAAAACTTGTGCTCACGTTTGGAATGTCATTTGAATGCTGTGATATGCACCTGTTAAATTAATTTCAAACACTCATTAAATGATTAGCATTTTGTGATTCAAATCAAAAAAAAAAAAAAAAAGAAGAAAAGAATGAAACTCGATGTCGAGAGTGATTATTTGTTAAGTTTATAGTATCCTTTGAATTCATTTTATGTATATTATTCGTTGGTATATCCTCACCCATTTCATTAAATAATAATTTTACCTACAGTATCGATTGAATGTGTGTACTACCGGGAAGTAGTAATTTTCTTAATACTATTCAAAGTAATCGTAATGAATCATTTAAATGTTCAAAAGGGTTTTATTTATTTGGTGGTGATGGTGGTTGGTATCAGCATAATCGAATTTCATATCTGGTGTTTCGCGATTAAATAAACACACACACATTTTTTCCGATTTGTTAATAGGCACAAAGCAAACAATGGAGTCAACATGGGGATATGAATGCAGCTTTCTTCGTTTAGTATACATTTTTTTTTCTCTCGTGTCAATGATAGGCGCTTTAAATCATTTTTCACGCAAATCGCTCAAAGTCGGCTTCGATCTGTTGTGGACTGAAGATGTGGATTGTTCAATATATTGTTGTTGTTATTGTTTAGATGCCATGAATAACCCTTCTCTCACCCATTTGAATGAGTATTCGTTGTGAATTTGAGATTGCATTTTGATGTATACTCACAAAACTTATGTAACATTGCCATATTGTTTGAATTCTGAGCGATGATTTTTTTTATTTGATTTGAATTTCACGTCGTTTATTCTAACAATTGTCATAAGTATAAAAGTATTTTGTAGGTAGAAAACAGTATTCTATCTTCAAAGTACTTGCGTATCATTTTTGTTTTCTTTTTAATCTGTTTGACAAACAATTTCATTTGAATTAATAATCACCACTGAAAACCAGAGATTGTTTCTCAGAGCAAAATATGTGGGGAGGGTTGCACTGAAGTAAGGAGTGAAATATTTAAAGTCCTCAGTGCTCTGAGGAACAGTCTCTGCTAAAAACAAACAAACACTTCAAACAAAACACTAACATTCTAACATTCGATTCGATTTCAATACACCGTAATGAAATGAATCACATGAAATATTGAAGTGTAAAATGAAATATTCTCATATTCGATATTTGTCGTGATGAAGAGGCGACATATAAATCGACTGGATCATCGAGCAAGCATTAAGTTTGTGCGTGGATGCACAATGGATTTTTAAGGAGTTTGACTCAAATTCAAAAGTTGTCAATGAAATACACAGAATATCAATTTGATGTCATTAGTTCAAAATTCAATTTGTCCACATTTATCGTTATCAAAATTCCGATGTGTAGAATTTATTCAATGTTGCAACATTTTTTCGTTGTAAAAAATCAATTATTAATCTGTATACATACAAAAATGTATGTGATTATGTTAGTAAATATATCTGTCCAATTTTGATGTGTAAACTTTGAAAATGTTTCAAGGCGGATAGGATTGACTCAATTGACACTTAAATACAATCATTTCGATAATATGTTATAAGCTCTCTGTTAAACGTTGATTTTTCTTTATCGCTGTCAAAATTATCTTTGTTTTGATGACCAATGGATCGTGTTTTCTTTTTGTTTGATTTAAATTTGATTGTTATATTTTCGGCCGTTTGTAACATTTCTCTTTATATATATCTCTCTCTCTCTTTCTATCTCTCTATATCTGATCTCTTTTACATGTTTATTCATGTTTAACATACAGTAACCAAACCCACACATCTGGAATTGGATAATGGTCAAGTGCAATCTCACTCGACCAACGGTAAAATCAAATCTCCATTTTGCTTTAATTTAGATCAATTTACATTTTATACCAGCATGTTGATCTTCATTTCAATAAGCCAAAGTATCTACACAATCGATGCTTTGGTAACAATGGTTTCGTTTAATTTATTTTTGAGGAATAACTGCATGTCATTTGTTATTTTTACGCTGACTATTATGGATTTGGAATATGGTTTCATTTTCGCCAAAATATTTGTTATATACCGAAATTTTTTATTGATCTTTACAAAAATTGGGTCTTCTCTTATTTTATTCCTTTTTGATTAAAAAAAAAAACAAAAAAATTCGACATTTTTTTCATGTCAATTGTCATTGGATATTACACATTTTGTATGATATATTTATTCTAAAATGTTTGCATGAGTTTATTTTCTAACTATACTAAGTACATTTGATTCGAGTTTGAAGTGTGCTTATTTGTCTGCTTATTTTAATTGCGCACCAAAATAAACGAAAGTGTAACTTTTCACTTTATTTTGGTGAATACATTTTAAATTTTGCATCAACCTTGTTATATGCATGAAACTCTTTGTTGAAATTCAAAAAAAAAAAACTAAAATGCATTTTGCCTTTTCTTGTTTGTTTCTCTGGCGACAAATAAATGCAACTTATTCTAATAAGTGTTGTTTTCATCTGTGTCGATTACAGCATCACCTTTGCCATCACCAATGCGGTCTCCAGCAAAAACTCCATTGCCGCAACAACCACAACAACAACGTCCTTCCGGACCATGCTGCTCTGCACTTTACGATTTTGATCCAGAAAATCCAGGAGAATTGGGATTCAAAGTAAATATCATTTGCCATTGATGATTCAAAGATCTAATTTAAAATTGTTTCTCTCTCTCTATCTCTCTCGCGCAGGAAAATGATATAATTCAATTACTGAATCGTGTTGATGAAAATTGGTATGAGGGTAGCGTCAACGGTCGAACTGGTTACTTCCCTCAGACATATGTTCAAGTCATTACCCCGTTGCCATAAACAATCTAACGTCATTATTTGTTTAATTTAAAGAATCGTTTTGCGCTTCGTTTATTCAAAAAAATACAAACAAAATTTAGCAACAAAAAAAAAGAAGTAAAGCGAATATAAATACAACCAAGAATGAAATTAAAGTTTAGCTGAAGCCACGAAACGTAGAGAAAAAAAAAGAAAAATCAAATAAGGAATCAACATTAAACCGAGATGCAGTGCAAATATGTATACAATATACCATACAAGATATGAAAACGTATGCTGAAAGATGGCCATCAATACCAAAAAAAGAAGAAGATTGAAGACAAACTTAATTACCATCGTATGTGAACAGAATTAAACAGTTACGGTGTGCAAAGCCGAAATGCAAATTTATGGAAATTGTTTCGATGAACACTTTCCATACGAAATCACATCAAAATTCATACAATTATCGAACAGTCTAACAAACCAAGTAACAAGGGAAAATATTCTGGATTTTGTTTCCTTCGCTCGAAATATGTCAAAGAGACGACAATTTATCACTTCATATTACTTGTTTCACAAGAAATTCGTTAAGTTGGACGTGAGATCATTTGCATAAAACAAATATATTTAAAAGAAAAACGAGAGAAATAGAATGAGTGAAAAAAAAGATACACAGATGACAATGATTGAATGAAGCAGTAATGTTTGCATGATGTGCCTATGCACCCTTCACTTCCACTTTATTAACATTCAAAACAATAGTTACGAGGAGATTTGCTGTTGCTGACACACACCCACACACATACACATATACATCCATAAGACAGACACACGCGCGCGAATGTCTCAACTGATTTCGTATTTATAAACGTCATGTTGTTCGTGCTAAGCATGAGATGATTGGCAATCGCACTTAATCGTATCTGCAACTGGACTTGCGAATGTAATTCGATTTCAAATTTCGGGAATGTATTCCTAGAAAATGCGCGATTAAACGAACAACAACAATATGAACTCGAACAATAATGATGATTGAACAAATTAAAACCTTTGATATTTCATGTGTATTTTTTGTTTTTGAAGAAAAAAATCGATTTTAAAATTGTACATATTTTTATTACTTTAATTTTGTTTAGATTATAATCAAATATACTGATATTTTATACCTTTTTATTTTGATTTTTTTTTTCTTCATTTGTATCCATTTTCCCATTTGCTTTGTTTTTATTGACCGTTCACGTTTCGTTTGCCTTGATTTAATCCATCGTTTTGAACATTTCCAAACTATATGCTTGCATCAATTTATTTTTTAACTTTTTTTTGTTTTCGTTTGGCTTTATTTTATAATGTTGTTTTATAATTTTGATAGAATTTCGTTGCTAATTTGTATCGTCAATGTCGAGTGTGCAAACGAACGATTAAACAGTTGGGACCAGGCGAGTAAAGTGGCTGCCGTTTAATCCATTACAGTTAAATAAAATAAATATCTAGAATCACAATGAAAAGCAAATCAACATCTATATATAATTTAGCGATGTGAAAAAATTCATTGAAAAACCATAGTTCAAAATTGAAGGCATATCAAATGTACAAGGTACATTTAATGGAGTAGTGTGAACATGGCTTTTAGTTTAAATGCACAAACGCCATATGAAAATAGAAAATAGAGCAGAGAGCAGTCTATGTATTTCGGATGGATATCCATCCGAGATATTTTAGAATATCTGGATATTTAACGCAACTGCACAGAGCCAGAGCTGTGTGCGTCGCACATATAATCTACGGTATGTCGCTACACGTAAAATACAGACACAGTGTGACTGTGTACGTGCGGCATTTGATACACATATACATCGCGACATACCGTAGATTCTATTTGCGACGCATACAGCTCTGTCGCTGTGCAGTTGCGTTGAATATCCAGATATTCTAAAATATCTCGGATGGCTATCCATCCGAAATACATAGACTGGCAGAGAGTTTGAGCACGAAATATGTGGAACGATTGACTTTTTCATTTAAAGCATTTCACACACACACATACACACACACACACGATTTGTAGTGTTCACAAAATACAAAAAAAAGCCCTAGACGATAAGAAACAAGGAGAGACCGACTACGCAAAGAATCAGCATCAGCACTCACTCATTACATTATGGACTTGAAACTATAATTAGAATTAATTTAAAACATTTTTAGATAGGATGCACTTTTATGAAAAAAAAAAAGCAACAACAAACCAACCAAAAACGGATTTCTTTCGATCAATCGTAGATTGAAAAATTGCACTTAAACTGAGATGAAGATCGTATGATCGTTGAGTCATTTTCGCTGATAAAAATTCTCTCATAGAATATCTTAGAAAATTTCCGTAGTTTTTCCGATTACTACTGTACATTCAAGGTATTTTCTTTTTTTAGAGAGAAATTACTGTCCGAAAAATGCTGAACGTGTAATCATGAATGAGATCGCGAATATTAATCGCAACAAGGGTCTTGTAATTTAGATTAAAAATTGGTTCAAAATAAAAAAACGAAACATGTTGCCAATAAATCTTCCAATAGAAGTCACCGTTCATAATTTTGCCTGTAAACAAAAATACAAAATAAAAAATCCAATTCTTGTCGCTGCCCACATAAATGCGATTGAAAAATAGTAGAAGTAAAGGTGATTGGAAGGCAAACACACAATTTACACAGGCACATACGTTTTAATTAAAATTTAATTATCTGATCATTGCCATTTGAATTTTATCATTTCGTCACACAAACAATCTCAACCAACTATATCGAGAGAATGACTTGATTTAAGATTTTCGAAATATGATAAAAATCGAACACCAAAATGTTAAGTGGTATTTATTTATGACACTCAACCAAAAAAAAAAGATCCATTCAACCTTATTCTAGCAAAGAAGAAAAAAAACTTGAAAACGTAATCGTCGTTCATCTCATTTTCCTCAGCAAAGTGTAATGATTTGGTTTTTTTCTTTGTTTTGTTTTAATTTCGCGATAAAGAACTGAATAATGCGAGAAAAATTATTTTTGAAGCGATAAAAGTAGTGTGCGGATAAATTAGAGTGAGCATGATTTACTCTATCACCAGAAAATTTATTAATTTAAGCACGAGAACAGTTTGCAGTGAGACAGTTCGTAATATTGAGTTAACATAAATGAAAATCTGCGACATTATTTGATTTGAAATGATCTCAAAAGAAAGCGAGTCGATGCAGCAGTGAAAAGTCCTTGTTGATCAACGAATTCATTTAGAGGTTTAATTCAAAAACAAAACATGTCGTATGCGAATTATAATAACAGACACATTAGATTATTGATATTGACATGCTTGAAAGCTTCCATTTACGGAATGCGGGTGAAAAATCGTTAAATCACAGTAGAGAAAAATAACAACAACAACAAAAAATATAAAATAAATATAGAAAATTAAGCAAATAAAATTATTTAAGGTTTCTGGAGTTCGGTCACGTACGGCATAATCACGAATAATCGCTTAAACGATGAAAAACATATACATAACAAATCAAATACATATATACACATATACAGCACCATTTCATGGATAGGTCCTCTCTTCTACTTTGCAAATCAGCTCACAATCACTCCCGTCGAGCACACCTAATATTCATTAATTATGAAAAAACAAACTATAATGCATGACAACTGATTAACTAATCGCTGTGATGTTATTTCAGTGAATTTTCTTTTGTATCGATATTTCTGCAACAAAGAAAAATACCTTCATAGCCCCCCTCCGAACAGAAAGAAAAAAAAAAAACGTTATTTTTCCCTTCTGAACACCAAGATTGGCCGTTTTTTTAAACTGTGTCACTTCGACCGATTTGAACCCGACAGATAATGTAATGTAAAAACGGCGGAAAACTGTATGAATAAGTTAGTAACCAAAGAAATAGTAAAAATCGAATAGATATATAAAAACTGTTGAAATCAACCAGATGTATCAGAATCGACAGGATTAACAAAAAAAATCAAACTCACCAAAGGGTTAAATAACAGACAAACACACAAACATATATACAGACACACACATAAACATATATAGCAATAAATTGAAGATAAGAGTCAAAGAGAAAATAAAACATTGAGTGTATTTATTGACGAATAAATCATATTCGCATTTTCAAAAATATGTGATTTACTGCTTCTGTTCTTTAATTCTATTTAACTTTGAATAAGCGTTCGTTTTTGCATTCTATTTGCATCAAAATGTTATGTGCATACCAAATGAAAATGATAAAAAAGAATCCTATTCTAAGTGTTCTAGATGTTTCTTTTATCTCATTCATTTTGACGTTTTTAAACGGAGTCGGATCAATTTCTCTCCAGTATTTCCTATCAACAAAAAAACTAATCAACCACAAAATATATTTAAAAAAAAATTGTTGTTCTATTCATATGTAATCATTAAAATTGTAAAAAAAGAAGATATAATACGCAATGGATCAAAGACAAAATTTACAGTTTCCAGAAATGTCTTTTTGTTTTACAAATTTCAATTTATCGTGGTTTTTATTTAATAAAATATTTAACTTGAGAATGGCATCATAACAATTGCATTTATAGACTATATTATAAGCGTCTAAAGCCTTAACCACAAAAGAAAACAAACATAAATGACACATTTCATTGGCTGTTACATACGAAACATCCAAATCAATTGTTGTCACCATCAATTCCCAAATGAGATTTTCACACTTATATATTGAACAGCCAATAAATTGTTGTAAAAACCATGTATCTACAAAATGCTTAGAAACGCAGCACAACACATTCATTCATTTAATGTTTGTGATGACCTTTTTTTGTCTCTTTTAAACTCAATTTCGAGTATATATATACAGTGTTAAAATAATCATTCGTTTGTTTCTGTTGTTTTCACATTTTAAAAAAAGAAGAAGAAGAAACGCATTTAATAAATAATATCGTTCATTTGAAACGCTCAAATTGCAATTTTAATTTTGCATTTTCTTCCCATTTTAATTACATTTACCCAAATTATAAAACAACAACCAAACAAACAACAAATTATTTATAACCAAAATTACTATATTAACCTATTTGAAATGAAAAAAAAAATTAACTAAAAAACGTACTTTGAAAATGAACAAAAAAAAAACATGAATAAAACACACGACAATACCTAGAATTAACTAAGAAACTAAATAAAGTAATGAATAAAACGACGGAAGCAAGTAAATTAAACAATGATAAAGAGTTTGCAGAAAAAGCAAAGAAAAAAAAAACAATTTCAAAGATATTTATTAATAATTCATGCAATACAAAACAATTTTACCGATTTATGAAATCGACGAAAAACTCGGGTCAATAAATTTCACCCACAATTCATACATTCATCGATTCCAATAAATTATCAGTATCATCTATTCTATGTTTAAAATATTTCTTAAAGTTATATTATTATTATTATTCGTCTCTGCATGATCCGCATAATTATTTTCATTTTTATTGAAAAGAAGAACTAATCAAGAAAAAAAACTTCAAAGCGTATTAAAGAGTTAATTTCAAAAAATAATCCTTCGTAATAGTGTTTGTATGCGCGCATGAATAAATGCTACTACACATATTATTCTGCACACACTGCAACGGACGAAGTCAAAGTTACCACAGTGTATTGGCCACCACACTACATAAGCAGGGCTTTTTACTCAGCGTTTGAAATTTCCTCTTTAAGATGTTATAACCATAAAGTCAACAGCAACCAAACGAAAAAAACGAGCAAAACGTTGTAATTTTACTTACTATTATATTGATATGTTTGTTTTTAGCCATTTATGCTAAAAATGGCGCGCATTCCTTTTACTGAAGTATCAAAGAAAAAAATGACGAAAAAAAATATTATACGTGTATATTTATTGTAATTTGCATTGTTGTGAAAATTTTCTTCTTTCAAATCAAACAAAAAAAAAATCGATTAAAAATCAACAAAAAAGTGTTTATTCAAAATTATAAATTAACAAAACGAAAAACTATTACCTATTATGATTACTAAAATGAAAATTATTTAAAACAACCTTTACACACGTAACCAAATCCTTATAAGCAAAAAATTTCGAAAAATTTTCCCCTCTACCCCTTCATCCGGCTGGTAAAATCACAAGAAGAAAAAAAAAACTTTAAACAAAAAGACATCTCCCGTTTCGGAGATTTCAGGTACATTAGCTCAGTTTCCAGTTCAATATTAATAAAATATAGAATCAATTACGTTTCAAAATCTTATTTGAATACAATTTATATTTCGATTGAAAAGCAGAACTTAGCTCGAGTGTGGTTGCATATATGCAGTAACTTTACACCGTTTCCAAACCAACAATAGTCAATAAAATAGTAGTTGGGTAGTTAGCTCCAGCTAAGATCTGGGAAAAAGTATTCAAGACCCAGCCAGTTCATTTTAAACACACCGGATTTTCTTTTTGTTGAAAACAAAAACTCTCAAAATTCATAGACATTAAATTTAGCCACAGAAATTACTTCTCATTTAGATGAGCTAATTAAGAGGGAAATTACACTACATTCCATTGGATCGGCTCCGAGCGATGATGTTTTTTTTTTTTTAAATAAGGAATAAATCAAACTGATATGAAAACATGAACAAAAAAAATAATAATACACTGATTGAAATGAATTTATTGAGAAAAAAAAATGTCAACAATTTGTGTATGCATTTGCAGTTATTATTTACTATGGAATAAAGATAAAACTATAAATTAAAATAACTTTTTGTTTTATTAATAAATTTTATTACCCTGCCTGAATGTATGCTCTACGACATGCATATAACTTTTGGTGGTTGACATTGAACAAGCGATATTTGAATAGATCTATTACACACCTGTTGCATTGAGCAACTCTTACTTGGAGTGATTTCGGTTGCGGTAGACATGAACATGAGTGTATGTGGATTATGTATGGTTGTTCATCAATTTTCATTCACAGGTGCTCGTTTCAATATCATTCTTTATGGGGCCGTTCGTTTGGATATCGATGTGCACCCTATAGCCCAGTTGATTTAATGATCGAACAAGTCATTTTGTTTCCGCTCTAATCCAGCGGCAGATGCGTCGGCGCGTAAAAGGATCCATTGTGAAAAGAAAGCAAGTGTATATTACATTGTACATGTACACACATGAAAATAAAATTGAAAATTAATTGGAATTGTTAAAGGAATGCACGCATTTTGCATTGTATTCATAACGGAACATTTTGACGATACGAAAACAAAAAAATCGCATATCAATTGACAATTTGGTACAAAACTCATGCTGAGCGAATGAATCAACAAAGCGCTCTGTCTTTCGCTTCACCAATTGCATTCATTTGTGTTCAAACAAGTCAAACCAGATTTTTGTCACCAAAATTTTGTTTGTGAAATAAAAATTACGGTTCACGATGTACCATGCCAATACGGAATAACAGATCATTGCACTTATTTGTAACGAGTTAATGAACTAAATGAATTTAAGGCGCGGAATTTTTGTCTCCAAAAAAAGAAATATATACACAACGGCACCAACCAACGATAACAATGCCATAAAACGGCCAACCAATTTGATCATACATAAACCGAAAAGAACAAATAAAGTAAAACAGAATCATAATCGTTGTTAACGGTTGGCGTTGTTTACTGTTTTACTCCTGTTTGCGTTTCTCTACATATACATTCAATGTGTTGCAAATGCCTGATCATTTGTGTTCATGATTTTTTTTTCAATTAATTCAAATGAAAAATGCTACTTCTAGTGGATTCGGGATCGGGACCTAAATCTTCCATTTTCCTGCATTCTGAATTGTCGAAATAGAAATATATCATGTCGAAAGCAGCAAGGTTGAAAACAAATCGAAAAATTCATAAGCAAAATAAAAGGAATAAAACACTTGATGAGCAAGTGTTCATTTGGTTGATGCGGTTGTGTTTGTGTGTATGCGCGCGAACGTTCTTGTATTGGCCGCATAATATTGGCTCATGTCTTTCGCTTTAAGCGCACCATTCGAATTGGTTGCCTTGAATCAAGGTGTAATTCAAAACGGACAAACGATGAAGAAAAAGAACACAGAATGAAGAAGTAAAGAAAGAAACATGTGAAATACACACACAGAGACATACAAGTGAATATAACGTAGAACGCTCGATCGGCATTATATTTTTCTCTTCTTTTTTGAATGATTTGCACCACGGACTGCGAACGATGCGGCTTCGAATGAGCATATGCGCTACATTGTGCCGCGTTGAACGTTTGAATGCAAAAGAATCGCTTGTGATATGCTTGTGCCGTAGATTTCCATGCTTGCTAAATGGAAAGGTGAACGCCAGCCAACGTTCAGTTGAAAAATAGCATTCGATTTAAGTGCACGTACATTTCGACCGGTCGCACTGAAGAAGAAGAGAAGAATAAAAATATAACTCACGTAAATTTTCTTTTCTTTCTCTCTTTCAAAACTAATCTTGTAGCAAGAGTGCGCGCGTATGTTCGTGATGTGTTCTTTCGTGCTCTCGTTCATTCGATTTATCGTCTTCTTTCATATATTAATATATATTTTTTCGTTGTTGTTGTTGTTGTTTGTGGTTTCTCTCTCTCTACCTCTCGGTGTTGTGTGTGTGTGGATTTGTTATAAATACTTTTTTTTTCTGTGTATCGAAACAAAAACAGAATTTGCTTTTGACTTTGTTTCAAAGTAAATGAGACAACTGAATAGAATTGAAGGCAAGCAAATAAACAAAATAAAACTACTGAAATTCAACGATCGTGGTTCGAAAGCAACGAGAAGAAGATTAAAAGCGAAAAAAAAGTAAAACTAAGCGTTAAAACAAAAATGGAATTTTAATTACGTATTATGGAGTGAGTAAAGTTGTACCACGGAGCTAAAGTTGTTGTGCCACTACTACAGCTAATTGTGTGTGTATGTGAAAAACGCACATTTCTCGAGCTCGAATTTTCGATACTGTGTTGCATTTTTTTGGTAAAACTTGTTTAACACTAAGTGCCAGATTTAATTCAAATCTTATTTTAAACATCAATAAATCATGTTTTACATGTGGCGCGCATTGAAGTCTTTTGTTAGCCACATAAATCATTCAAAAGATTAGAAAATATATAAACGATGCTTCGTTTATTGACAAATAAGAAAATGCCAATTTATTATCTAATGTTCGGTGTATACAATGCATACGGTACCACAACATTCGATCATTCCACCTCGACCGCGTAATTTGTAAACACACAGGTTCTTGTTTCTGCAGCCAATGGCTACAAAATAGTTCCGAGATTTATCAACGTTATGTAAAACGATCTCTTTTTTGCTACTTTTTTTTTTTTAATTCTGTTCAACTAAAGTTCTGCGATGCTAAACCGCAAACCAATTTCGTGTTTAAGTTCTTTGTTATTTTGTGAAATCCCGTTTGGACTAATGTTTAAAATAAAAAAAATAGTTTCATACAAAATTTTTACTTGTAATTGTCTCGTCGACCCAAAATACGCAAACTTTCAGCATAATGATTCATCATTGGCTGCCGTCTTTTGAGAGGCACACTCATGATCTTGTATTTTGTTTTTGCCACAAATAACATTTTGAACTTGTTTCGAGTTGGAGAAAATATGAAATGCCCAAAAGATTCTTTTTTGGCATTCAATCGTATTTTTTTTCCTATGCTTTGCACCATATTCATAAGTGCTAGAAAATTATTGAAGAGTGACCGTTCCGCCGCTCTTAAGAGCTCACTGAATTTGCACTTTTCATTTGATTAAATTGCCACTTCCGTTTGATGTTCATCCAAAATTCATAAGATGATCAACACACACACAAGCACGAATAAAGGAACATCATTTTTGGCACTGCGAAGATTTGCAGAAAATGAAAACGAGAAAAAAATTCATTCGATTCGACAGTAGACAATTTTTTTTTTAGAAAAAAAAGGACAGAAATATGAATGCAAACAGCAAGAAACCTAATCATAATCGAAATCATTTGCATAGAGTTTATTTCCCGTTCGTAATGAAATGCATAAAAAAATTGTAATTGGCTTTAAAATAAATTTTAGATGTGCAAGGTGTTTGCAGAGAGTCGCTTATGCCTCACAGGAACAAGAACACTTATGACATTCGATGGCATGATGAGCGATAGAGACAAAGTAAATTGACGATCTGCAGATATTTTAAAGAGAAACAAGGAATAGGCACTTAATGAATAAATAATAATAAAATGACGTTAGACGAATAGCCGGGACAAAATCATGGCATAAAAGTGTAAAATACTCATTATATTTCTATGCAGATATAATGTATAGAAAAGATGCTTGGCTGATGCCGATTGACGTGCAACTCAACATTATAACGTTTTGGCTGAAAGTTTATAATCATCATACAATCATTATCTATTCATAGTATGCAAAGAAAGAGAGTAGAAGAGAGAGAGAGAGAGAGAAATTGAAAGAAAAAAAAGGCTAGTGCAAATGGCGCATAAAAAATTGAGCTGCGGGAATGACGAGAATGTGCAATTAACATTTTATTTTCCTTCTGTACGCAAAATATGGTATGCACTCTTTGGCATCCAATATCCGTCATTGCAGAATCAATATATTCATAGATAATTCATATGAGTGGCAATGCATACCCACACATACACACACTCAAACAAGATTGTTGTGGCATGTCAGTTATTTGATTCGACATCTTTCTACTGCCGTTTTTTTCTTCTTCGCCTTGCTTGCATGAGAATTTACCTTGTTTCACCTATCTCTTTCGTTCGAAGCGAACGTGTTCGATTTCCCTTTTTTGTGTGGTGAATTCGCGATCGATGGGCTTCGCAATTTGAAATGCCAAATCATATACAATTGATGGTCAACAAAGAAGTGATTTAAAACAAAATGTACGAAATGCATTGATTCTTATTTAAATAATTTCTGTTCTCACCATCCAAAACACTTTACATTTCTTCACAAAGTGGTCGAACCCACTTGAAATAATCTGTACGCAATAAGCATTCGAATGCAATAAAAATGATAATAATTCATCGATTGAATAAAAGGCATGCCGAAAAAGATTCTTATGAATATATTCAGAGTGATTGAATTACAGACAAAAACAACAACATCATACGTTCGTTTTCCGTTCTGATTTCTATAAATTTAATCATTTTTCGTCATAGCCACAAAAACCGAAGCTGAAACAGCACGTAATGGGGTCCAATCATTAGATAAAGACAAACATAGTGTTGAGGATAAAAAAAAGTTGTGCATGAAAAAAAAGAGTGTCGAAAACGAAAGAAGCCGAAGCGGAAAAAAGAATGAATACGAAACCATAAACTTAAGTGAATAAAGTACAAACGCACATATTACACGAGTTTCAATATCAATCAAAGAGGCATTCAAATGGATATTGTACAGTGTTGAAATTGGTCTTGTGTGATCACAGTGGAAAAACTGAAGAAAAAAAATCATTCGATCGCACGAAGTAAAGACTTTGTAGAGAACAGAAGAAAGAAAGAAAAAAACTGTAAAAAAAAGAAAATACCTGCCAATTGTGCCAATTAGAGAGAATAAAACAGATCGAGATGTTACTAAAATTGTTGTCGATTTAGTAATCATTAAATGTGTATCGCGTTTCAATTTATAAGCTAATAAATTATATCGGCTAAGTTACTGTTTGAATTGTAGCCAAAATAACCATTTGTTGCGCATGAAAATTCATTTTAAAGCAATTTTAAAATAAATAAAATAAAAACTGTAATAAACGATACAAGAGAAAAAGAAAACCAAGCCAACGATCGAAAACAATCAGCGCTCCAAGTTTGAAAGTGTCAGAACATGGACTAAAACAAATGGTAAATATATGTTCATGTTCATTTCCTTTTATTTCGCCGTGCATCATTTGAGTGTTTAATCGAAGTCGCCTCGGCAATTGTTCAGAACGCTAAGGAAAACGAAATTGAATTCAATGTTTCACATCGAAAGAAAAAAACTCTTTTATGCAAAATCATCGAGTTCGAAATTTTGAATATTGTCACCAGCCATTATTTATGAATTGTCATTTAGTGTCAATAAAAGTCACGCAGAGAAGGAACTGAAAGCAAAGAAATACCATCTGCATATTTATTCGAATATAATGAATAAAATAAAATCCAAAACATTGTTCAGGCATTGAATGCTGTTTATTCAACCGAAGTCTCCGAAGATGTGGTGGCCAAATGGACACTTAAGCTGAGAGTAAAGTTTTTTTCTCTGATCAGGTGCTGGCAATATCATTTTCACTATTTATAATTCGTGATTCACATTATATGCAATCAAGAATTTACAATTCGGTTTTACAATCGTAATCCCTGCTGTGAAAACTTGCAATAAATAATTCTTGTCTATGCCTCTCTTTCTACACAATTTATCTACATTTTTTCTCTCTTTTCTCATTTTAATTTGCTTAAGCCATAGTTTGTTTATGCTTCAACACAATATACATTAAGTGGTGTAATTTTTTTCGGTGAAAGACAATAGACCATTTAAGTTTGAAAGTGATCATGAAGAAGCAAAAATTATTCGAACATTGACAATATAAAAATAAATTCCATCTCCACAAATTTTTTTTTTTTGAAACGTTGTTCAATCAATCGAAATGAATGTTCGATGTACTTTATGCGAATATGTACTGTTCATTGCTTCCGAATGCACAATTTGAATGATTCAGCGAAGCAATTGCAAAGTACTTGCAGCACAGGCTTGTTTCGATTTCATTTCCCAGTGTACCATCCCATTTTATTGTTGTTGTAGCGAAAAAATGAAATTGTGCATCGAATGAGATATGTGTTCGGGTTTTTTTTAATGCACCAAATGTTGTGCATGCACACTTTTGGTTTTCTCTATTTTTTCTTCTTCTTCGTTTTCTTCGGTGGATTTTTTTTTCGCTTCTTGCTTCAATTAAAATTTACATAGCTTAGCACCGTACACATATACTGCGAATTCAATTTGCTTCGAATGATGCATTACAATGTGAATATTTTGCGGCTTCAATGTTCATTGTTGTAAGTTTTGTTTGTATTAAAATGTCATATATGAAATGAAATGTGCATTTAAAATTTAATAGCGTTTGAATGCGAATATTATATTTATTTCATTTGTTTTTCTTAATTGTACCAATGATTTCGCGAGATTCGAACTAGAGGTGTAAACTTCAAAATGTACGTCTCAAATAGATCCAGATTGTTACTTTCTCGCCATTTGTTTCATTAAAAAAATGAATCAAACGCAAGCATCTATATCTGCGATATGTCTTTGTTTCCATGCTGCGTTCACCATCGCTCAAAATCGAACTGATAACATTTGAATTGTATTTGAAATAGATATTCTCTAGATCAAAAAAATGTATTGTATTGTTATTTTCTAGTTTATTTGTTTGAATTGGTCAAAATCGAGGAGTTTCAATCGACAAATTTATCTGATGACTCGTCGTGAAATTCAAATAAATAAAGACGTTAGATTGGGTGATAAACTACTCAGAGAACGGAACAATGAAAACAATTCGAATAAACAAGTGTGTGTCTCTCTCCTCCATATAGAAAACCGGTTAATCAAATTGTTTTGATACTGAAACCGTTTTTCAACGTTCACCAGCAAGTCATTTGAATTTATTTATGAAGAAATTATTACCACTTTTAACTGAAACATATTTCTCTATTATTTTTCTCTCAAGACGTTTTATTAACTTTTCGTTTTTTTTTCTTTCTTTTTTCCAAAAGTGGTAAATTGGTAGATTATTGAGTTAAATTATTGTAGTGTGTTTTTTCTCTTCTTCTAATGTTCGCGCAATCATATTTGATTTAAAATTTAAATGTGCAGATGAAATGCATACAATGAAATTCATTACCATTTTTAGCATTTTAAACAGAGTTCATTTACTTCAAACCGCTGGCTTCAAACTAGGCATGGATCAATTCATAAAATGCATCTCGCAAGCTTCATGTTATCACTTTAAATCAGAAATACATGAGAATGTATAGACAACGGAATTGTCAAAAATTTGCAAGTGAATACAAGCAAAGATCTTTTTAAAGATTTTATTTAAAGCGAAAAAGTGTCGTAAAAATATATGGCAAAATCTCCATATTGACAAAAGGATCACTGAACATAAAAATGACAAACTCAGCAACGGGTTGACAAAATAAAATCAACTTTTTTTGATAAATAACTTCACGTTATCAGCTGAAGGTAACTTTTTTTTTAATTCTCTCAATGTTGAGCTTAACTTCGATTCCAATTTATTTTGGGTGAGCACTCCATAAGCTCCAGTATATCCGGATTCCGGACATTGCACTGAGTGAGCGACTTTGATCAGGTCCCGTAAAAATGTATCAATTGATTATTGTGGGTAAAAATAAGCCATAATCTAAACATCGATTTTGGGCCATGATGACAACATGGGTGTTAATTGATAGGCTCATTTTTAGGCTAAGTCTTCTTATGCTTTATTAAGAAGAAAAAAAATGGTGTAAATAAATCCAAACTAGATCCGAAATATCGAGCTTAAACCTATCAAAATAACCGCCTCTGAAATAAGTTGTTAAACTCTGCGTGGTTCCGTCTTTCGAATTAAAATGTCCGTTTATAATTGCACAGAGAAAACAAACGTTTGTTCCGAATGTAGATCATTTCAATCTCTTGGCTGACGTGGTCTGAAATAAATGTAATCAATTCATCACATTATTTCTTCACGAAATGAAGTAAACCTTTAGTTCGAGCTGTATATGTGGGCATTTTCCGTTCATAAAATGAAACTCAAAATATGCCAACAATTAAAAAGAAATCGATGTTCGAAGAAAAAACGGTAACAACAATTATCGACATCGTGTGTATGAGTTTTTCATTCTCTTTACACCATATTTTGGATGGAATGTTCTAACTTTTGTGAACCTGTAAACAAATAAAGGCTAAATGACACAGTCCAAACTGGTTGGAATTGAAATTCTCATTTCTTCATTTCGATACAGCATCAGTTTCGGCTGTTTAATTGTCGGCCTTGTTCATTGTTTGTTCACGTTTTATTGTGATACACATTTTGTTCTTTTCCATTGGTTTTTCTTTATGCTCATTTGACTTTAAGTTTCTCTCTTTGTCATTTAAAGGTGTGAGTACGTGCTGGCCCGAATTGGCTTCCGTCTATATTACTTTTTCATTTTATTTTGCGTGATCATGGGACGCAGTCGTTCCGTGCAGTTTGCCTTTCTTGATCTTGCACACACTTACTGGCTGTGCCAAACTTTCGGTTTATTTCGTTTTATTTTTTTTTGGGTCGAAAAATTCAAAGCTCATTTGTTCCACACGTTGGATAGTGAATCGGTGAAAATAAAAGGTACAATTGTCTGTGCCATGACATTCACTACAAATAAATATTTGTTTCTGTTTGCTCACCGTTTCGTACGCGATGTAACTTGGTCTAAATGAGTTGGCCGCAAATAATTTATGAACCTTATATTTTCTTTTCGTTTTGATGCTCTTATTTCACCTGTGTGAATCGTGATGATCATTTTGGATTATTTGTTCATCATCAGTACCGTGAACATGATTGTCTCTCGTTTCCTCTGTAGTTTTTTTTTTGCTTTCTCGCACACACACACACACATTCATGTTTGAAAGCGCTCATCCATTCTTTGTACTGATGCAAAGAATAAATTCAGTCAAAATGAAAAATTCTCTCATAATATGAGAATTGCAGTGAACTAATGAGAAATGATAGTTTTTCATCGTTGTTTTATCTCTATTACTCACACTTTTGTTTTGTGCTGGATTTTCGTTTATCGACTTATTATAACACAAACATATGTGTGATCAACAATAATGTCAACAATAATCACATTACATTTGTTTTGGGTTTTTGTTGCTTCATTAGCTGGATGGAATCGTATTAACAAAACCAATTCATCGCAGCTAAATTCACATTTGTTATCCGGTTGTCCAATTCATTTTTTTTTCGCTTACGCTTGGCACTGGTAATCTGAATACGTATTCACAATTTTCAAAAATAAATTTCAACACAAAACAAATGCTGATTTACACAAAACACTGAACCAAACGATTTTGTGATTGCTGAACTGAAATAAAAGAAAATGTAAAAAAAATATTTTTCTTTTTGTTCTGAACACAAAATATAAATGACGACAACGATGACGACAATGAACAACTTTAACCAATACAAGTTCCAGATAGAATGATCGTCGAATAACAGTTTTAAAAAGATTTTTATTGTTAGTTTATTTTATGGTCGATAGCCATTCAAAAACTGAAGTTAAACTGCAGAATCGTTCGTTTTGGCCATTCTCTTCTACCTTTATGCACGAAATTCTCTGCTTTTTCTTCTTCTTCTTCTTCGACATTGATGAAAATAACATTACAATAAATTTAATGTCCATTTTGAATTGTCTCTTCTCAAAGCCAGAGAATGTGTGAATTTCCATTTAGCAAAGTGATATAAATTTTATAGTCTCACTTTTTCATTTTCGACATGACTTTATCAAGATTATATGCATTAATTGTTTGAAGAGATTAGTTTGTAATGTCCATTTGGAAAATTTCTTTCACATTTGAAGATGATTGAATCGCCTTTCTTACCGCTGAAACGAAATTGGTGTGTTAATTAATTTGAATGAAAATAGTGATCGATGATAAAGCCATCGTCTCGGTGCGCGACACTCTCCACTCGCATAAACGTTAAGCATTCAATTAAAAATCGCTGGTATTTTTCTGCTCTTCCTCGTTTGTCGTTCGAAGTGCAAAGCTCGTGATAAGTTAAGCCATTAAGATAATCAACAAAAATTTAATGTGATGGTTGTCACAGAATCAAACAAGTCACCCGGTAATCGAATATTGTTCGACGATTGTAAAAGAAAATTGAACAAATGATGAAGAATAAAAACGTCGAAATGTGATTATTATAGAACAGCTGGCGTTTTATATACGTATACCAACGGTCTTGCAATGGTTGGCCTGACTTTGGCACTCGCGACATAATAATGAAAATGTGGTCATGTATCGACGTGCACAAACGAGATGTGTTCGGTTATTGGTTATGCACAGTGAATGTGCTGCTTGCAGCCCCATCACATTGATTCGATTGAATATAAAATGTTAAAAATTATGCGATACGATCGTTTACAATGTTTTTAAGGCAAAATCAAAATCATTAAAATGAACATAAAATGTGGTTTTTTTGCCTGTGGTGGATAATTTAAAGTCGTTTTTCATAGCATCTTTCAAAACGAACAAATTTCCAACATTTAGACGATTTTCGTCGACAATTTTTCTTAGTTCGTTGCAAATGCATGTTTCAAACTATTCAAATCAACATCAAACACACAGCAAGTGTTGATTGTGCAAAAATTCCAAATGTCATGGCCCTAATCAACATAAACTAATCTACTGATGCAAGAAAAAGAAGTGCGCGCGCACACTGAATATGTTTGACGTAAAATTGCAAATGCGCAACCAAACAAATCGCATGCCATCTCACTTTTCATCGTACTTAACAAGCCACTTGTGGTTTCGCACTCTCTCAAAGATCATATAACAATTACGCCACCATTCTCATTCTTTGGGTTTCTCTTTTAAGCATTCCGTTGCCCATGAGATCGAATAGTAAAAGGTGCCTGTCATCAACACCAACATTTTTATTCCAACATACAATCGCCAGCAACGATCTAATCGACAAATATCGTTTATGAGCGAACGGCTTGGTTTATTCGCTTTTTCAATATTTCATTTTTTTTTCTTCTGCCAATAAAAATGCCGCATCAAAGGATCAATGACATTTTCGATGGGATTTAATTAACGGCATCTTTTTGCTGTTGTTGTTGTCGTTCGCTATTCAAATGAATGTAAACGAGGAAAAATGGCAGTCTGTTGAAAGTTGAATAAACTATGACCGTTTGTAATGTTAACTTCATGTTTGTTACACAAATTCAATGGTTCAATTCGGTTGGCATGATAAAGATAAAGAGGTTTGACAAATTTTTCAGATCTCGGATGTCAAAAACGCAATGTTCTCACATTATAATTGAATAAGGTCTATGAATGGTTCATCTTTTAAGCACAAATCCCACGCATAATTTCTATTGCTAACGAGAATAAAATGAATTTCTTCTTGTGGTCTTCTGACAAATTGGCTTCACCTCGCAACCAATTTTCATTCTCCGGCTCTTTGTTCATGCATTGACTGTATATTTTTTTCTCTTTTCATACTTAATTCTAAATTTTATGGCTTCAAATTGAAAAAAAAAAACACACACCAAAAACGACGATTTAAAATTTCTTTTTTTTTGTTTTGCTTTGTGCATTCTTTATAATTTCAGATGCAGTGTGAAAATCATATGTCGGATGGCGAGACAACAAGAACAAGACGTTTGCATGCAACCGCTTAAAATTATATGCTCAAGGTACAACAAGTTGGAAAGAAGACAGAGACACCGGTACAATTTTACCATGTAATGAATGCACATCGGGTTCATTTGTTCAACGTTGTCGATGGAAAACAAAAAAACAGAGAAACAAAAACGTAGCAAAGAATGTTTGTATTGTGTCTTGACTATGTATCTGGTGCAGTTTAAAAGCGAACCCTTGAATTACCTACAAAGATAGATTTCGATGAATGAATTGAAATTGAATGAACTTGGAAGTGAATCAGACAAATATCACAAACACAATAAAAGCGCATACACAACACGATCGCACACTCTCATTCAATACCCGATTTCAGCAAACACACACATACATTCGTATCTTTCTTTTCCACAGTCAAATTTTTTCTTTAATTAGACACAACGAAAAACTAATCTTACCACGAAGCAAACGTATAGACGAAAAATAAATAAACACACACAAAATTAGCAGCGGCAACGAAGACGAAATAGATAAAATAATTTAGAAGCAGCAAACATTCAACAAACAATAACACAATGAGAGAAGAAGAACTGGAGATAGCAATTAAGGTATTAAAACAGAACATATTTTTGCATGTTTAACCCGGCGCATTTCTGGAGCACAAACTATTTCTGTTTTCTTTTGGTTTAAACCGCTCGCTTTTAATAAATGACAATGGATTTTGGAAAAATTTCACGTCAAACTCACACTTCAATTGCATTTCATGATTAAATTTATGTGAATCAGGTGGATAATTGAATTAAACATGCAATGAATTATTGGTTTCCATTGAACATTTGGCATGTTTTTTCTTTTCTACGAAACATCTTCGGTCAATGGATTAAATAAATTTAATGGATTTTCTTTTTTAAAATTAGGTTGTCATCGTGGGCAATGGTGGTGTTGGCAAAAGCTCGATGATCCAACGATATTGCAAAGGCATCTATACAAAAGACTATAAAAAGACAATTGGCGTCGATTTCTTAGAAAGACAAATTGAGTAAGTTTGCATTCACATTTAAAACGACACCGCGCTCGTATTTCTTTTAGTTTCAATTTGCATTCATTTTTGTCGGTTTGTTTTTTTTATTGCAGAATTGATGGAGAAGATATTCGAATAATGCTCTGGGACACTGCTGGTATGTTAAAAATCAAGACATGACCCGACACATTGATAAATGTTCACTCATTATTATTCAAATTTACAGGTCAAGAAGAGTTCGACGCAATTACCAAAGCATATTACCGTGGCGCTCAGGCATGTGTTTTAGCGTTTAGCACAACCGATCGAATGTCATTTGAAGCAGTCAAAGAATGGAAGATGAAGGTAAACAAAAAAACATTTTCTTTTTTCATTCAAATTAATTTGACCAATAAGTGGTCATATGTTAAAAGCTGGTAAACATCAATTTATTTCCAAACAACTTTCCATTACATAAAGTGTAGTTAATTGAAAAAAAGACAATTATATCATCACTTTACGGTATTTTAAAATGCCTCTGATCGTTCAAATTTCTTGATTTCTATATGGATCCATGTTGCATTTGGATGCATTCAACATATTATTTGAGCTACATCTAGTTAGTAAAATAGTAAAGAAAGTGTGGTTTTCTTCTTTTTTCGTAAAGTAACTTAACAAATAATATAATTTTAGGTTGAAAATGAATGTGGTGAAATTCCAACCGTAATTGTGCAGAACAAAATCGATCTAATGGAACAAGCTGTGGTTTTACCGTAAGTATTTATTGTGTTCAAGTCGCATGTTTTTATATTAAAAAATTTCTTGCGTTTAAATTCAAGTGAGGAAGTCGATCAGTTGGCAAGAAATTTGGGCTGTCGCCTGATTCGAACATCGGTCAAAGAGGACGTAAATGTATCATCGGTTTTTCGCTACTTAGCAACAAAATGCCATCAAATTATGATGCAACAATACAATGTAGTGCCAGTTGGACAACCAACAATTAGTAAGTGATTTCTTAAGCAAAGCTGAAAAAAATCGCCGTGAATTTTAATGGAGATTTATTTTCTAAATTTGTTTTTAGGTGCGTTTAGTCCAACATTTACGAAATCAAAGGGAACGATTATTTTGAGACCGTCAAAGAAAGCATCACGTCGGAAAGCTGTACTGAAGAAATGTAGAATTTTATAAAACAAAACAAAAATCCACTTCGGTCGTGATAATATGACTTGTCATTTCTTCAATCAAAAACTGTTATTCTGCAGAAAGCATTACTCTCGAATTAAGAGACGAACTAATGTAAAAAACAATAATTATAATGAAAAATATTGAATTTATAAGAATGTCAGCGATGCAAATGAAATGTTAAATGCATATAAATTGGGTTTCAAAAGACCTTTGTAGATAAATACTGTTTGTAATGAATTGTGTTTTTTTTTTCGAGTCGAATTAAGCATATTCAAAACTACCTTATCGGAACTGAGCATCAATTTAAAGTCAAACTTTTTTTAGGGAATAAATACATTTTTTTTATTTAATGGATACTGACACGCATTTTTATTGGAAAAATAAAAACAATCAAATATTGAAGATTTTTTCCCCATTTTTTTCTCATCAAGATGATCAGATTGACGGTTTTTCTTGGCGAAACACAAAGGTATTGTATGAAAAATGTCAAACTTTACTGAACATTTTCTCCATTTTTGGTTCATCAAAATTAACTTTCCCATCGGTAAAAACATTTGCTATCTTTTCTAAATAAGCTCAGTTGTTTTACATTTTAGTAAGAGATGGAAGAAGAATATGCTCCATTCAAGTTTAAAAGTACTGGTTCTCATTCAAATTGTGTACCGCATTTACATCGACCAAGTGTCAAATACGGTAATTTGTCAAATAACACATCAGCAGTGTCATTTGGCTAAAGTTTCAAAAACACGCTCTTTAAACAACAGTCTTTAATAATTTTTCTAAGGTTTGTTTAGTAAGGTGTGGATGGAAAAACGATTTTCTATCGATTTGATATTTATATTCAATGATTATTTACAGACGATTCATTTTAAACGAAAAATGGAGACGGTAAGTATTTTTTGTGTGGTCGGCTCCACTAAAACGTATGACATTTTATCATTGACAAGAATGATGGCGCTTTTGCCGTGAATTTAACCAATACCACTTCAAAATGTTTTGTTTGTATTGTGCGCAATCTCATCACATGATTTTCGTATCGTTTTGCTGCTGTCACATGAAATAACATAAGAAGGTTTTTCATTTATATCTACGATCACCACTAAAATCATCACCAGTCCATAAAATATTGATATTTTCGGTAGAAAAAAACCATCGATTTAGGTAAATGTAATTGAATTTTTCGAGTAAAAATTAATGTGCATCCAAAAAATAAAAGTGGTGTTTGCAATTGAAAAAATAAAATCGATTTTTCTGTGTGTTTTCATTGCAGTTCGAACGACGAAAGTATCAACCAAATTTCAAGTGACTAATTAATAGGCAGACCGAAAGACCACATCAAGATTATCAAGATGCGTTACGTCCTAGGATATTCATTTGCGGGAACGCTAATATCTGTATCAACACTTCTAGTTTTATATCATGTATTGACTGGAAAAGGTGAACGTGTCAGTTTTGCTTGGTTTTTGAATGATACATCGCCCTATATGTGGTCCGCCGTTGGTATCGCATTAGCTGTTGCATTATCAGTGGTTGGCGCAGCCATAGGCATTTACACGACTGGTGTCAGTATTATTGGTGCTGGTGTCAAGGCACCACGTATCAAAACGAAAAATCTCATTTCGGTCATCTTCTGTGAAGCGGTTGCCATCTACGGTCTTATCACGGCCATTGTGTTGACTGGCAGCATGGACGAGTTCGATTTGAAGACCGCAGGCCCAAATGTTGATACAATCATTTCAAACAACTGGACCGCTGGTTATATCATGTTCGGATCTGGTTTGGCTGTTGGCCTAGTGAATCTTTTCTGCGGCTATGCTGTCGGTGTTGTAGGTTCGGGTGCAGCCTTGGCCGATGCAGCCAATCCAAATCTGTTTGTGAAAATTTTGATTGTTGAAATTTTCGGTTCGGCTATTGGTTTGTTCGGTTTGATTGTCGGCATTTATATGACATCAAAGATTAAAATGGGCAACAAAGTCTAAGCATTTGAAATGGAACAAAACTAAAGAAAAACCATCTTGTTTTTATTTTTGATTTGTTCAGCACAATTCAAACCAATTCAATCATTTCAAAATGTTTCTTTACAACAAATAAAATAGTTTAAAAAAATCAATTTTACTTTCAACAAATAGAAAATGCTGGCGAAGTGCTGTAGTGAATGACCAACAATCTATCAGATAAAATCCACAAGCGTATGGTCAATTGTTTTGTGTAGATGTCATTTTATGTTCATGTGATCACTCGAATCGATGCAATCGAACCAATAGTATTTTCAAACCATATGTTTTTTCACTCACATGATCTCACACAAACAAATCACACGGCACAATGATTCGCACGAATATTATCGTTCAAACAAAACTGCTCATTCCAAAAAAATAAAATAAACGTTCGACCAACATCGAACAGTATTTTTATTCTGAAAATACATCAATTTTTTTTTTGAATTAAAGGAATCAGTGACTCAATCAATATTCAATTTTCCATCGGCATTTTTGGATTGGTTGAAATTAATTAGTCGTTTAGTTAAAATATATTATAATCGTGTAATTATGAAACATGTTAAACTGTACACATTTAATAAAAAAAAAAAACAAAGAATTATCAAATGAAGTAATAATATACGTGAAGATTTTCAGCTAATATATAAATACCAAAATTTATTGGCGTAATTGCTTATTCACATACAGCATCATTTGTGTATTATTCCGATCAAATATCATTTATTTTTAAATTTTTAAACAATTTTTGATTGATGTAAATAATTGAAAAGATTGTTCCACAAAAAAAATAAATGAGAAAAACATGTACTATATATACTGTTTATTATATATTTTTATGTTATAATACTGAGTCGCATGAACAAACATAATTAATTTTTAAGTGACGAAAATGACATCATTCTTCCATTGGACGACCTTTTTTGGGAACATATTTCGATTTTGTCCGAGGTCAGGTTCGGGCAAAAACGACTACCGCCATATTTTGTGCTCATTTTCTCACCTATTTGCTTCCTCTAAAAGAGGCTAAGTCCATAAATCGTTCTTCTCATCATCTTTAGGAAATCATCCATTTTTTTAAATCTGAATTGGCAGTAAGAGGTAAGAATCATTTATTAGCGATTAAATTTGCTTTAGTTGATTGAATATAAAAAGACTCTAATTGCATATTATGTTCAGAAAATAATAACATCATACCTTTCCAATCATAGCTGGGCAGACAGAGGAATATCAAATTTTTGCGTTACCCCTTTACAAAATTCACGATTTTGGATATAATTTTTCTCATTTTGCTAGAGTTTTTGGATCGTAGCTGAAATTTTCCCTGCATTTTTCAGTCTGCCCAGCTAATGAGTACCTTCAACCTTCTACGAAAAAATTATCAATCCTCAATAAAATCATGTTGAAGTGTTAATATTAAGTACATTTCTGTGAATGCATTTATTGAATTCAATTCACTTGTGTACAATTTAGTTTTAATTTCATTGTATGCACCATTTTAATTTAAAATTTAATTTCTTTCATTTTCTTTTATTGTTTCATTTTTCCTGTAAGAGAACAAATAATGCTCAGCTCATTGCACAGAAACATCAAAGATATATAGGATAGTACATTAATGTTAGGTGGTATTCATAAAATATTTGAAGAAACAAAATAACTAAGACTACACTGTAATTTTGATGGGATTAAAATATAATCCTTTTGGATTATTTTGATGAAAAATCCCAAATGATTAATATTTAATCCCTTCTATTTTACAGAGTATTAACATGGGATGTATCCAGTTGTGGGGTCATTCATATTGACCGACATCACAAGTGCGTTTTGTCAAATGTAAAAATTCGATCACATAATTGTAGGTAAAGTAAAGTTCATATGCAATAAAGATATTGGTTTCCTTTTAAATGACTGTTTGGAATGTATTGCAAATAAATCAAAGAAAAAATAAATAATTATGCTCTTTTCTATCATAATATTTTTTTAGATTTCTTTTAACTGCGTTGCTTTAGAAACATTTGAATCAATCTATGTAAAAAAAAAACATTTTGAGCACATTTAGCAAATGGCATATATAGTTTTCATTCATTTGCCATTCCAATAGGCGATTTTGCCATTTTCAAAGCACAAATTTTTCTGAGGTGGTGGTAATAGTTTACCAAATTTAACTTGTTCCATGTCCTCATTTTCAAAGTGCTACAAAATAAAAGGGATCAAGATTAGCCGCCGCAGAATATACGATTTCAAACAACTTACCAAACACTGCGATACAAATTTCAGGAATTTTTTGTTCATATCCGCATTGATGCTTGGCAATTTCTCCAAACTGTAACAACGGAACAAATCGATTTAATTTATACGTTTTTGTGTTGATTTAAAACAAAATGGAACTTACATTCGGTCATCACATAAATGTTTAACCAAATTCTCGCATATTCGTGTATTACAATCGATATCAAATAGCGGCACACCAAAATGAACATCCAAAATGGTCCATTCCTGTGGAAAATCATACATGTTGATTATTAAGATGTTAAAGTATGTTCTGATTTGAAATTTACCTCTCCAATTGATTCTGGTTCTTCTTCGATTGAATTGAGTTCATCTTTTTTGTCGGTGTCGCATATTTCAATTTCAATGGATGACTGTGAAACTAATTGGCCACGTTCACTGTCCGGAGTACGATCGCCTCTATCAACTTCGTTGAGTTGTTCAAGCTCCTTGGCAAGTATTTCATTACAATCATCGCTTCGGTATACATTTGCCGGCGATAGGTTTTGTGGTGTTATGGCAAAATGATTCTCATTGGGTGATTTCAATGTTAAATTCGGCAAGTTTTTGGCAATGTTAAAGCTTGTTATTTCCGATCCATCCATCGGCGATGCGAGTTCAGCAATATTCTTCACTATAGGCTATACAATTACAATGAATTTTATATAGTTAGTATTTTCTAAAGAAAAGAATCGATTTTATGTGCTTACAATGTTCGGTGGCTGTAAAGTGGTTGGTACTTGTGATGATCGGCGTCTTTCTTTTGCCGACAATTTTTTTGGTTTGATTAAATGGACATTCATATCGAAATGTTCACATCCAATATCGCGTACACCAACATTCACGAATGTTATATAACCACATGTTTCTTTTAAATTCAAAATTTCTTCAAGCTTTTGAACACCTTTATGATTCATCCACTTTTGTTTAGTTGAATCTGAGTAACCAAATGGAAATGCTTCATAGTGTACTGTGGCCGGATTTCGGATTCCATAACCCTGAACTAAAACGCATCCGTTCTTCAGTTGGTCGTTCAAATTCTTGAAATTTTCCGAATTTATTATATAGGAGTCGGTGTGAACAATTGTGACTAGCAGTTTTCCATAGCCCAGGAAAAATTTTGGCAATGACTTCAGAACAGTACCTAGGTGGTATCCAAATGAGAATATCACGTAAATTGAGCATTGTGAGTCACCAGAAATGGTGTGAAACTGTTACCTTTTGTAAGTAGTAAACTGGGCGGACCATATCCAGACATGTGATAATAGAATAGTTTCGACCAAATATGTGAATTATCAGAGCTTTTGAAAAATTGACCAAAAAATGGAATTTCAAATATATTGGTAATCATACTGGTCAGCGGCGCTGCCGATATTATAAATCTATTTTTTGTGAGAATGAGAAAAATAGAGTAATTAACGCATGCTCGCATTGTATGGTGAATAAGAGGACTGACTTGTATTTTTTGTCTAATAGCCTATCTCGTGTTTTGTGGTCCAGACTCTCCAAACACTCAAGTCGCAATAAGTCGATTCCAGCCTCTAGAACATTTCGCAAAGCGATAATTGTTGAACGTAAAATCACCTGTGAGACATAAAATTTATTTACGCATTTATGACATTGTTGTGAAGTGATATTTAATGGAATTTTGTGAATCTTACAGCATGAGCAAAATAACGCGAAACTTCTCCTTCGCCTTCGGCATCTAGTAGTGACACTTTCTCCAATTCACCCAAAAATGAATCGAGACTCTCGTCGCACAATTTGCCCACTTCAAACATGGTGACCGCATGATTTTTAAGCCCCTAAAAAATAAAAGCAAAACCATTGAATCAAATAAATGGTGTGACAAATTTGTTCAAAATTAAAGTCGAGATATTTTTGGTGAAATTTACCGGTGAAAGGTTGCCCATCATTAAAAATGCGGTTAGCGTGGCATCGAATAAGAAGAGTACGCGCTTACCTAAGGGGAGAATCACAAAAGAAAAGATCGAAATTTAAAATAATCGATAATAATTAATAAGTAATTTTTAAGTGATTTGCACCACGCGCTTACCATTTCCACCACGTCGAACAACGGCGTTTGGTGTGGTTGGCGATGCTAAAAGCGACACTTTTTCCGATTGTTCATCGAGTTCACAGCTCGAGTTTGGACTGTCGGATGTGTGTTTTTTGCTTGATTTTCCATTTGAATCATGCACTTGACTAATAATTGAAAAATCGCTAATGTTACCATCCGATTCGTTTGAATTGCTTATTCCTTCCGATTGTGATGTCTGTTTTGCGGATGCCGGACTCGATGTTGAATCATTCAATGGGCTCAACTGAATTTGATTGCCATTGTTTGAAGGTAACTTTGGTGATGAATCCAATGAAGATGTTGTACCAATAGTTTCACTACCAGCTACCGCTTCTCCATTACTGTTGACTAGACCGGTGTTTGTTTCATTTACAAGCAACGCATGAAAATTCAAGGGTGTCACTTCAACGCGGCTATTGTCGAATTTTCGTTCATTCCAGGTCGAATGTTGATTCGGTACATCGGTATTGGTTTTCTTTCGTGCAAATCCCAAACGACAAAATAATGAGACCGCTTGTTTTACCGTATCAAGATTGATTTGTAGCATTTGTGCCAGTTCAGAAATGGTCATATGTTCATCGGCACTCACAAAGATTTGATAGAGTAAATTTTCAAAATAGTCGCCGCTCACGCGATTCATTACAAAGTTTTTTAAGGGCGGAATGCATATTTGATCTTCACCGCTGATCGGCACATCCAAATAGATTAAGCCTTTTCGATATAGACTTTGGATCACATCATGATCCAATTTGCCAGCGGTTAATGAACCAAAATCAATTAGATCATCTAAAACACTTATTTCTTGTGCATTTATATACTGAAAAAGAAGTGAAAACAAAAAATTATCATTCCAAGTTGAATATGAATGCATTTAAGAACTTACTTTGACATCGCTTTCGAGTACGTAGCCGATTTCCACCTTCCACCAAGGTTCAATGTTTATTCGAATGGGAAATTTTGGCAGGAAATTCATTGGATTTGGCTTACGAAATAGTTTCGTCGAATTTGTTTTTAGTTCGCTGATAAGTGCCAGATATTCATTTCGTCCGATCCCAAGAACTCGAAGGCCTAGATAAAAGAAAATATTATATTTTTGATTAAATCAGGAAAATATTCATAAAATACGATGTTACGTACAATCGGCAGCTGTAAAATTTGGCAATGTGTCGTAGCTGCGGTCATTTTTGAGTAAATAACTGAGCACATCAATGTAGTAATTGAATGGTGTAACACGCAAACCCTTGGTGATAATATCGGCTAAATGATATGGAAATAGGCACAAACATTGAACACTTTTGTCCACCAGCAGCTCATAGTATCGTTGTTCATTTCGAAATGTATTTCGTACTGTTGTTCCGTTTCCAGATGGGAGAAGTGGCCAAAAATAGTTGATAAACAAAATAAAAATATTTATAGTGGCAAAGCTTGTATTTAGATTTATGATTAAAAATTATGTGATGGACGTGCGGAGATGGGGAATCATGTTTTGTTAGGGTCATTTGTTGTGACCTTCTGTTTTTGCTTTGATTCATCAGTTGTTTATAAGTCTGAAAATCGAATTAAATGTCAATTGTTGCTGTTTTTGTTTTCAATTGAACGTATTTTCCCTTTTATTCGAAGCGCACTTTATTGAACAGTTTTCTTCATTTTTCGTAATTCCGCTTTAGACATTTTTCAGTTGTGGAGTTATTTCATTTTTGTTATCTTATCGCTTTGCATATGCTAACGTGATAAAAGCTTCAAACCCCAAACACAAATACAAAAACGTGCTCACATACATTTTAATGGAAGCGTTTTCGAGCTCAATGTTTTTGTATATGTGTATTTTGTGTGGCGCAACCTTGCCACATGAGATTTGTTTTTTGTTTGGTGCGCGCATACGGACCGAATTTTTTTTAATGAGTGTTAACGCTTACACAAATTGCTATCGCATCCAATGTAAATTGTAAAATGACAGTATTGATAACAAAGCATTGTGCGTCAAATCAGGCTGGATCTTCTCAATCGCGAATGAGATTAATGTTAATTTGCCAAAGTAAACAACTCACCTAGATTTCCCTTGTATCGCAGCTGATTTTTTAAACTGTAATTGAACAACAATCGCTCGTAGTCTTTCGATGAATTGTTCAAAAACTAAATGAAATGGAAAAAAAAGGAAATATTGTTTATCAATAATTGGAAAAATAAACAAAATCACATCAACAAACAAAAACATCATCAAATATATTCGAATACATTTCGTTTGCTCATATCGCTCACATAAATAGCGCTTAAGGGATGAAACAGATATGATACACACTTTGTAATGAATATTCGGATAATATACAATTGAATACATCGAATCTGAAGTATTAATGTAATTTTCAATTGATTTGTGATATTCACAGAATCGGTTGGATTAAGCATGACCCCTATTAAACTTTGTTAAGTATACGCATAATTCACAGTGTTTTTCCATTGTCCTTTCGTCACATTGCACTGATTATTATGAATGTGTGCTAGACTTTAGGCCAACACGACTTATCGAACGAAAAGGGATTTCGAAATCAGAAAGCAATTAATATTAAATAATCCGATAAAGATTTAATGGCAACTTATAACGGAAAAACTACTGCAATATTGTTGTTTAACGTAATTATTATGATTCGCGTGCTTTGAGCCAAGCACCCATTCATCAATTTAATATTGAATAAAGAAAAACGAGAGATGAAGCATACAAATCGAATCGGCGTACGCAGTGTCACGCGATTTCATGTATATATATATATCGGTCGTTTGTTTCACCGTATGTTTTACGATTAAGTCTTTGGCATCTTCGAATCAACGAATGTTACAATTAATAATTATTTACCATAAAACCAACAGAAACACCACTCAATAAAATGACGTTAATCTGTTTATATCCGCGAAAAATCATCGGAATTCAAAGTATTTAGGTGACAGTATCCTTGATACGAGCGGCCACACAGTCAGCGCCATTAAAATATTTCAAACTGGCGGTAAATTCAAAGAATTACGAAACAGGAAAACTTTATTTTCCAATAAACAAACATGAACTTTACAGCTATCGATTGATTTCTATAGTCGATTAATTACTTGATACGCTGCCCATTGCAGTTCATTGAGATTATAAACAACGTATCAGTTGTTGTGAATAATGCTGATGAAATACAACTCTGGAATTGGCCAAAAAAAGGAGTGATCGGGAGAAGAAGAAAAAAGTTAGAAAGAAAAACGCTCCGATTAAATTATGTTTGAATAAAAACCAAAATTGTGTGGCATGAAAACGATATTGCACTTTGAAAACCGTAATATAAACACTTCAACGAAAATTTATTTATCACATTTTCTTTGTAAATTGATGCATGTGCGCTAGCTTGATTTTTTTGTCTCTTTATCTTGTCGCCTGTTTTTCATCGTGAATTATGCATAATGTTTTTTGTGTGTGTGTGTGTGTGTGTGTGTGTGTGTGTGTGTATAGGCATTGTCTCACTTTGTTCTAATGTGTAGCCAAGGGGGACTTGCATATTTTCGTAAATTATCCATTGTATTTTCGAGGCTTTTATGGTCGAGCTGTGTGTGTGTGTGTGTGTGTGTGTGTGTGAATAGAATCACACAAGATTTATCGTTCAAGCAATTTGTCCTTTTGAACAATACATTACGTTATTCGTTTGGATGCACATCAATAGGCGAATATTTCGCACTTAACACTCGATTACATTATTTATCATCGCAAAATAAAACTGTTTTGCACTTGAGCAATACCATTATACTCGGTATGACGGCTCATTCACGTCAACGGTATCCACTACAATGGTTAGAATAAGGCAACACAGAGATAAATGTTTTGTCTTTAAAATAAAAATATAAAAACTCGACTCGACTCGATTTCATTACATGTCAACCGAATTCTGTGCAATATACAAATGTAATCGATATACTGACACATATTTCGTGCATTTTCCATTTCAAATCGAGAATAAAATGCAAAGAATAAACTGTTTACCTGTTTTAAATGTATTGGCAAATGTTGCCACGTTACATTATTCCGGACACACTCTTCAATTTCTGTGTTTATTTTTCCAATCATCGACTTGTGCATCGTGTCTAACAATTTGTCCAACTTTCAACAAAAATTCAACGAAATATTTGTTTCTTCTTTTTCTTCTATTCTATTTTTGCTTCAATTCCAGTTTTGATGCACCAATTAAAAACATTATCAGCTGCTGCGAACTGTCAGTATGTACAAAATTAAAATGGTTTCATTCGATGTACCAAAACAAAACGAATGGTACACAATTGATGTGATGGTGTTTTGCATTCACACAAATTTTTCATTCACAGCACACTTCAAAACACCATCGACAATTTTTATTCACTTGTACGATATGGAACAATCACCAGAGTAACACTGAAATCACAATAAGCCAACAATTTCACAACACACATTTCTCTGGTTATGTGTTACGATGATAGAGAAAAAAAGGTGCACAATACTATATTGTGAAGTAAGAATCGTGGAGAATTTATTTCCAGTCGATATTTTCTTAACTTTAATTAATTTAAAAACAAAAAATTTCTTGCTAGAAAAAACTAGCGATGAGAATTCATTGGAATGAAATGTTATGGAAATAGATAAGTGAATGTTTGTCTATAACAAAATTTGTTATTTAGCTATCAACATTGAATCAATATGAAACTGACAAATGTGACTGCCAAGAATCCGAAGAGCTGGTGGCGATTGCGATTAGATCGACCACAAAACAAAATGAAAACACTAATCGACGACAAAAACAACAACAAAACTATTCAACTATATATTTTTTTTTACAGCCGAACTTCGTGATTCGTTTTTATTTCGATTAAATTCTTCTTCTTTTTTTCGTCGTTTTCTTCTTTTCACGGTATCTTTTTTGTTGTTTTCTTTAGTCCGCTTGTCAATATAAACATTTCAATGTGTGGCTAATATTATGATTATCTATCTTGGAATGTTTTTGTGTGTATGTGTGTGTGTATAGACGTGCAATGAGCTGTCAAAAAATGCGTTCAATAAGCAACGAAGCGAAAGCACAATGTGGAAGTAATTTTTTTAGTGCTTATTTCTTGATTCGATTGTTGATTCTTGAAGTGTCTCTCACATGACATTTTATTTACAATACAAACAACTGCAGCACGCAAACAAATACTTTTTCTTCTGCGATTTTGTTCCAGCTATTCCTTGGATTGAGTATTTGACATTAGAACGTGCAATGCTTATTTAATCACATTTTCGGTTTTGCATAGTTTTCGATAGATGTCACCGCAATGACATTACCGCCGTTCCATTCACCGTTGCATTTTTGCTCTTTATTTAATACCATTAAATCAAGCTATGAATTATCACACTTCTCAAGTTTCTCAATCATATATCATTTCAAGTGAAATACATGCCAAATCGATATTGAGAGTTAAACAAAAATATGAGCAATATATTTGGCAAAATGAAAGTTTTAATTTTATACATTTGATGTCTCATATCAGCTCAATAATAAAATATAATATACGATTTCTCTCTCTCTCTCTCTCTCCCTCTCTCTGCCATTGATTCCTCTGATGCATCTATTTTCATTTAAAATACTTGAGAAACGTATCCGTTCACATTTAATATTCAAGTCATTTTACGATACCGTTTGGTACTCAATTTCACATCGCTGATTCTCTGGAGATTGCATATTTTGCTGAATCAACTTCAATTTATAGCATGATAAGAATTTGGATACGCAGAGATTTTATTTGACAAAACAAAATGAGTTGCCGGGACGATACTTGCAAATTTTCAAGTTGGGAACACCAAGTTGCTGTTTTCAATATACGATTTCAATTTTCGACCAAATCATTCTGAAAAGTTTTTAAAAACTAATTTCCGGCGAGTGTTGTTCAGCATTTATCAATCTTATAACGGAATTTAAAAAAAAATGGAAAGGAAAAATTATCATCTGATTTTGGGTTGGGAGAAATGAAATTTTGCTCCTTTTTTTCCTTTCGAAACCGAAGAGAATATTATTCAGCGAAGTTTTAATTGGGTCTGTAATGAACTAATTTGGAATGGAATACACTGAATGGGAACGTTTTAAATGTGGAAATTATAGAGAGAGAGAGAGAGAGAGAGAGAAAAAAAAATGCTCCAACGTTCTCCATCGAAGTTACTTTAATGAATATTTATTAATTTATTCGTGTATGTCGAGGTCAGTTATTTTGTGAGGTGAATCACTAAGAGCTGCTCGTGTCAACGCATATTATGCACATTTCGTGCAGAGTGCACAGGTTACGTTTGCATTTCCCAAGCTAATTTCACATGGCATGTCATTCATAGAATTCAAATTGGAATTTACAAAGCAATTCTTTGCTAATCAATATTTTATGTCTATGTAAAATGGAAAAACCTGCGATATATTTCATTATTTTCTTTATATCTACATCTAGTTTTCGTCCAGGTATGTAGAACGTGTTTTATTATTTGGGAATTTGTGCATTTTAAAGAATAAAATAAAACATACAACATAAGTAATACGACTCTATTAGTGTAAATAGTGTAACGATTTTGGTCTTAAGACTGTTTGCTTATAGAAAATAGTTTGTTTAAATGTAAATAAAACTGAAGTGTGTATACAATTGCATTACCATAAAGAGTGCACCACATGATCTGATCTGTTTCGCGTTGATACATAATTGTCGTTATTGAAGTCCGCCCATGCAATCAAACAGCATCTTAACAAAGAATGTGACTTTGGATTTTCGCACGGAAAAACCATTTATGAAATAATTTTTCGATTACGTTTTGCAATGTTCTCATATTCTTGCCATTCTATCGACTCGTATCGTGTGTCGATGAATACAAATTCAGTAGCGTACGTTTGTTGTTTTGGTAAAGTAAAAATACAAACAGGTGCGATGGTTGGTGGACTCGATGCGATTAGTTTTGCGTCGGCGCCACTCAAAAAATCTTCAACTACACAAAACCCATATGCATCGAATGTGAATATGGCAAAAGCGATGATATACAATCCGCCAAGGCAAAGGCACACATACTCCAACTATAGTGTAATGGAGAACATTGGCTCACTTTTTATTATATCGCATTTTCCATTCGATGAAAATATAACGCAACAACATATAGCCGCTGCTTTGGCAGTCTCGTCGTGTGCTTGAGGTATTCTATTGGTTTTGCCACTCATTCCATCTCGCCCCATCACTTTCATTCTCAACAGACTTGGCTGTTTTCGCTCTACTTGTGCCTGCACTCCGTTACTCAGACTCAGTTGTATTGGTTTCAAAGACTCGCTTGTTGCGCATTTTTCACGTGAGAAGCAGCTTTACCAACAACAACAAAAAACGGAACCCCACTAAAATGCCGTTACGTTATTTAGCGAATGCAAAGTACACTGGATAGCTGGATGGTGTGTTCTATGTGTATCATGCAAACGTATCAAATATAATGAAAAATACACCATCACCAGCATTAACAATTTTTATCTTCGATAGGTATTTCTCCTCTGATGTCATCCGTCTATTCCATGTAAAATAGACTCACATACACACACATACAATTACAAATTCTCCCTCTCGCGCGCGCACACACACACACACACACACACACACAAGGGGATACGAAAAAACCCTGACTTTATTTGGTGCTTGTGCTTGCTGGCTGGCTGGCTGACTGGCTTATATATATTTGTTTAAGTGTTTTCAGTATACCTTGTGCTAGGCATGAAGCACACGAACTCATATTAAATACACAATTTTCCATAGAAATTTTTGCACGCATTTTGTATCGTCTTTAGTTTTGCGTACCCACTCGAAGTTTCACAGAACACGAAGAGTTGAAGCACAGAGCAAGCAAAATCGTTCCGAAGCTCGACACACACTCTTTCTATCACATACATACAATCTGTACGGTTCAGTGCTCATGTGTATATTCGATTACGTATGAACGCATCTACCGCTCATAGCATTTGGTTGGGCTCCATACAAAATTTAAATATAAAGCATAACAACAATATGAAATATACTGGCATGAATATGAGAGTACACACGTTCATGAGTAAAAACAAAACAGTTTTCGTAAATCGTATGCAGGCAAAGCCAAAGCCAGAGAAAACTCACCGACTGTCGTCTATATATGCGGATGACGAATGCGACGACGACGATGACTACGACGGTGTCGGCGGCGGCGGCAATATGTGCCATACACCATGGCATGCCATACGTACATCTCCTCATTTTCCTCTGTTGAATGCTGAAATCTTCTAGCCACTAAATACTATATGAAATGTCCATTTAAAATTCAGTCCATTTCGAACATCTGAGGTGTTCACATTGTACACTAACATTTGCTGCGATCCGTTTTGTTCGTTGCCCGTTACTCTGTGTTTTGCGTTCACTGTGTGAATGGTAACATTCGTACTAGATTTTATTATTATTATTTTTATTTTTGTATTAAGTGCTCTTTCTCTCTCTCTCTCTCTATCTCTCCCTCTCCCTCTATTTCTCTCGATGTGTGTATGACACATAGAAATTTAATCAATTTGTTTGTTGTGTTAAGCATTTAATGATTACACTCACACTTTCTGTTTGGTGCATTTAATTAATTTGACATCAATTCTCTTGATTGTTGTAAATTATTCATTTTGAAATTGGTTTTCGTTTTGCGTTCGATATTTTAACGTTAATTCGTGAATATTTGGCATTGTTCTGTTTTCTATTTTCGATTTTAATTCAAATAATGAAATTGTTTATAAACTGACACTCGAACCATTCACATTTGTTTGCCTTGAAAAGCTGCACGGGGGAAGTTGAATGCTTCACACACACAACGTATCCTACATACAATAAAAACAAAAACAAACTCTCACACACGTTCACGAACCATTAATTCCATTGCATGGAAAAAGGAGGCAATTTATTGCTTTGTTATTTCGCGTTGACCACGAAATCCTTAGCAAAAACATCCGTTTCATTGACGATTTGCCCGTATTCAAATTGTGAATTAACAGTGAAAACGTTTAAATTGAGAAACAAACAAACATAATTTATTGAAGGTAACATCTGAGCAAGTTTTTTGCCTATATATTTTTCAAATGAAAATGTATATCCATGTTCTGTTTTGTTTTTATTCGAAAAAAAAAAATGAAGCGATAAAGTTGATTAAAAAGCAAATTCAACCTGGCTTACAACTTTATCCACACTTCATATTTCACTTTATTAATTGTATGCGTATGATGCGGTGTATTAGTGTTTTCTAAAAACGAAAAGAATTTCGGTGGGTTAATACATTTTTGTTGTTTTGGTTTTGGATTCATTTGCAGCCCAGCATTCAAGCACACCATATTCATTGAAAGCAGCATTCAAAAACGTGCGATCCAAAACAAAACACAAATCTGACGAAATCAACAAGCTACTTTATTAGTGTGAATAATCAAATGCATAAAATACGACATAAATAAATAATATTGAAAAATAACGTCGAAAGTTATAAAGCAGAAGAAGGCAGTAGCGCCAGCTCAGCTCATTCATCTGAACGCAGTTTTTTTTTATTATTGTTGTTGTTGTTTTGTCAAAGAGAAATAGGAAAGAAGCACGAACAGCAGATCAAGTGAAGAAAAGAATATAATAAAAAAATAACAAACAAACAACATTTGCGCGATATATAAAATATAAACGTATCAAAGGAGTTGAATAATCTTAATTCCGTGCACATTTGGTAAATGTGCGTGTATGTGTTAACGGTGTTTTAGCCAATACAGCGTTAAATTTACTGGAGACGATGCCGATAGTCAAGTAAGTGGGTGAACTTGTTTATATTCATCTTTACTTCTTATAAGTTTCGTTATTTCTTTACTGTGTGTTTTTTTTTTCTTCGCTTTACTCTGTCGTTCGGCACTTCAGACGATTTACTCATTGTTTACCTTGTCGTCATATATGAATTCGTTTCATTTGCGATATTATTTATTTACAATATCATTTGGTTACTTACATACTTGATGAAGCTAAAGTAAAACAGATTCGAACCGAATTAAACGAAACCAAAATAATAATCGTAATAATAATTATAATTATAACAATAATAATAACGACCACGATAAAAAATGAAATGATACTATTTTTTTGTGCTCTAGGGTTCTTGTGCTTTGCACACGTCAACCAAGTATTTAACAATATAACGCACAGTGGGTGAAAGAGTATTAAGTAGATTGATTAAAACACAGTTGTTTGTTCTCTCAAATAGTAATTAATTATGCGTTTTTCTACTTCTTGTTCTTCTTCTTCGGATTCATGTATGTGCGTTGTCTCGGTTCTTATGAGTTTAGTATTTGACGTTTACAAAATATTCGAGCTCTCGATCTTTAGTTGATTCCATAAATTGCATACACCAAGTTGTGTTGAGTCTTTTAAATAGAATATGCCATCGTCTGAATAAATAAAACTGCTCACTCGGTCTTTAATAAAAATTGTAGAAAATTGTTCAAACTTCTTTTTCAATCTGCAAAGCTTCATAATGAGATAGAGAAAGAGAAAGAGAAAGAGAGTAACACATGAAGAATCCACAAGAAGAAAAAAATATATTGAGAGATAGAGAGAGAGAGAAAAAAAAACTTCGCCTCTTACAGTATACGTGAATGCTGCAACTTTAATTTCATTAATAATAAAACTCGCGCACTGCATTGAAAAGGGGTTAGAATGAAGAGTTTTAAAAAAACATTGGCATTCACCGTGAGCATTTGCTTTGGTCTCGAACGCATGTAACAAAAGGAATTGTTGCAATTTTAATGAGAATTGAAAAACCCCGAGAGCAATAAATTATCATTTGTTCATTTCAGAGTTAGTCAAATGAAAATTCAAAACTTTTCAACGGGATCCGAAGTTGTTATTGCTGTTGTTGTATTTTTTTCTTTTATTTCGAATTTTCACAAAGAGCAACGTGTTGTTTATTATTTTTGTGACAAAACGGGGGACCACGAATTAGAATCCAACCCGAAAAAAAAAAACAATCAGCAGAAGAAGGAGCAGCCACAGCAACCTAACATTGGCTGGCTCGGAGTCTGAGAGAATGTGTATAGCATTTTCGAGTTGACCCAAAATGAAAACGATTCACTTTGTTGTCAGCTAATGATGTTGCTGATGATAAAATATGCTCATTTAATTAGTGTCTTCGTCTGTAAATACACAAGCATAGAGTGCACACACACAACCCATGTAGTTATAATATCTTTTCCGACTTTTATTTTTCGATGTTCTTTTTTTATCATCTGGTCTTTTTCTCCCGTCGTTTCAATTTGTTGTCATGTGACATTTGATTCTATGATAATTATATTTGAGAAAATCACTTAAGTTGCTACAAGAATTTCTTAATTACAATGTATCTCCTTTTTTTCATGCTCAAATATCTAGATCGGTGTAAAGACGCACGACATCAATACAGCACAAAACACAATAGCACACCATTTGTTACATGTTGTCATTCATCAAAAATTCCAAGTTCAACCGCACAGTAAAGCACATAAATCAAGACATCATCCCCATTGAATTTGATACAGCTACAGCATCGTTCTTAGCATACTATATGTGCCCGTTCTATTCCATTGCATCGATGTGCTCTGTGTAAAAACATGAAGGATAATCGGCTGAAAATTGCAATCAAAACCATTTGAACAGCAACAGTTTTCACAGACGAAAAACAACAACAAAAACGTTACAAAATAGAAAAAAAAAACCGAACAGAAGTGTTAACTGCGCGTATACACACTATTGAGTTTTGGAGCAGTTGTTAAATGGCATTGTTCTCGAGCGACGCGATAACAATCATCCATAAATTGTTGGCAAAAATTGCTAGAACTAAAAAAAAATATATATATCAGCCACTTAATCTGTTTCCGTCGGTCGATTTGATAAACGTAAAGTGAGAGTGAGAAAGAGAGTGTGAGAGGACCCCATGCACGTCAAACAAACACACTGTGTGAGACTTGGCAAACACCCCGACATCAATATATATACAAAACTATAATTAAAGAAATAAAATAAATGAAAGAAAGAAACTAGACCAATTTCGCTATTCGCTAAAACCCGACAAATAACTACTAATAAAGCAATAATATTTAATATAATGTGAATTGTTTGCACTTAAACACATCGCGCAGTGCATGAGATTTATGATTTTATATACAGATCGATTTGTGTACAATAAATTTTAGCCGCAAACCATTTAGATATTGGTTGAGTAAAATAATATTCCGATAATTAATATCGTTTCCCATTTACTGATATACATCATATATTCGTATATACATAGAAAAATACACACATGTGAGAGACATTGGAGACGCGCGCGCGCTACATCGTATCGATATTATGATCGGGTCTATCAAGGAATTGATATTGATATTAAAAATGAGTTTATATGAAGCAAAGGAGAACACATGCAACCAAAATTATTGACTGTATTGTGTAAATTAAAGTGAATTACATACGAGATTCTGAATCATTACGCAAATTTTTTTTTCATCGAAAGTCGAGTCAGCAATTCGTTTTGTTGATAAAAAAAACTTCACTGTTTAAATAAACGAAGTAATATTTTTTTTTTAAAGAAATTCTTTATCGTTGCAAACGTGTGATGAACAAAAGTCTTTCAATTGAAGATTTTTAATTTAAAAAAAAAAAACTAAATAAATAAACAAACATTGAAATAAAAGGAAATTTAGCAAACAGTTTGTTGCCAAGAGCAAAAACGAGTAAAATAAACGGAAAAGTTAAAGAAGCCATCGAAAAAAGTCAATCACACACACACACCGCACACAGGTACGTTGAGTGATTGAATGAGACAACGTATATGAAAAAGCTGCTGCTGCTGCTGCATCTCATTTCGAGCCCCAAAATATTTGAACCAGCACACAGGCGACATTACGATTATTTATCATGGCAATGGAATGGATCACAGCCATCGATAAAAGGTTATAGCTATATATTTTATTCATTACATTACATTTCATTAGATGTATCATTAAATTCAGCGTTAAGAATTCGGTTGCACATCAGCTTAAGCTTTAAATCAAAGCCAATGGCAAACACACACACACACAGGACGCAGCATACCCTTGTCGTTTCGATTTTATTTCGTACGTTATCATTCTTCCCTTCATGTGGATGTGTGTCTGTTTTGTTTTTTCACCCGTTATCCTTTTATACTTTTCTCTTTATTGTTTGTATTTTCTAAAGAAGTTGTTTGTTCAATAAAATTCAAACATTTATTGAGATTTCATTGGCATAACCGTATCTGGAATTTGGTTTAACATTAACACAAGACTTAAGTTGTCTGTTTTATGTGATGTGTCCGCTGTCGAACATTTATTTTTAGTTCAATTCAGTTATATTTTGAATGTTGTTTATGTAAAACAATACCAAAGATTGTACCTTTGTTTCATGTCACATTTAATGTCCGTGTTTCATTTTCTGCGCGCCGCCGTTCCCAAATCTAATACGTCATCTTTGCTCTCACAAGCAAATTATTTAATATCCAAATGGAAGTGTTTTTTTTTTCATTCGTTTCCAAACTTATCTATTTTTATGGACAGATTTAACCTTTTTGTCTCCAAGGTATTAGAAAGAGCTCGAACTGATGAATCTGTGTATTCATTTAAAACTCGTGAGATAAATTTTTGGAGAAACAAAAGAAATGCCGGGGAAGATATTTATACAATCGAATAATAAATTGAGTCATGTGCTGTTGTTGTTGTTGTGGTCACCATTTTTTCAAATATTTGCTGAACTTAATAGAACAAAGATCAAAAGCAACAACAAACGAGCGATTACGTCAATCGTCCTCGGCCGGTCGTGTTTTTTTTTTTTGCTTCTAAAGCCAATTTTGAAATTCCAAAAATATATTCGTATGCTTCAAAATGCTTCAGGTTAACAAGTTCATCGTGTAAAAAGAGCGAAAGAAAGGGAGTGAGAACAACAACAAAAATACGAGCGACAACGAAACACGGTAACATTTTTTTCCCCGAAAATATTGTCAAAAATTAATTTTTATCTTCGTTCGCGTCACTTCATCACCAACAGCAACACATTTAGCGCAAAGTAGAAATGCGAATCGCAAGAGAGAAAAAAAAAGATACACTGCCAGTAGCTTGTGGCTTTTGCATAGCGTACATATTCATTCAATTCAAAGAATAACATTAAGAGATATGTATAATATTTACGTCGTGTAAAGTGCACAAATATTCGATATCATCTAAAAGGTAGAAACTCTGCCCTGCTTCGCATTTTTCTTCTATCCATCTTTTGTTATTTTGAAAGCTGCTGTATTGAATATTGCCGTATTCCCTGCTATTGTTGTTGATGTTGATATTCTTCTCGTCTCATGCACACACACACACTCCATTCTCAACCAAAATAACCGAATATTCAATAGCTTGACTATATTCAAGACCTAACTGACAAAAGCTTCGTAATCATTTATACTCGAAGTTTTTTTTCTTCTTCATCCAGAGTAATTTACTTTTTTCTTCTTTCTGCATTCTTCCGTTCTTCGACTCTTCGATATCTGGTGCTCTATCAGTTTCCTTTTTATTTTTCCCATTGTCACTTTTCCATTTTTCCTGAAGACATCGATGTCGTGTACATGAAGCTTAGAGTGAAACGGGTAGCGAACGCATGCCACTTTATCTTTCGGTCGTTTGGTTTTGGTGGTGTACACACCAAATTTCTGCATACTTATAATGCCACAAAAAATAATCAGATTTTTGGTTGTCGAGAAAGTTTTCATTTTCAGCCCTTTCGGTGAAGTTTTTCACATGTTTTAGCCCACGGTGGCTTTTAAATTGATGCCTTAAATGCAATAAAAAATAAGAGAAATCACGACCAGAAAACGATGGAAAGAAAAGAAATACCAGTCTGATTACAAAAATACCAAATGCCATGCCTAATGAAGAGCAAATAGCATATAAATCATCGATGTAATTTGTATTCTTATTCGCAAATACAGAGAAACCAAGAGAGAAACACTTATAGCACATAAGCACATTGAAAGCACAATCAAAAAATAAAATACAAATCGATCGAAATAACTCGAACTATATATTTAGATATATACTACTCAAGATGAAATGATTCTGTTTTTCATTCTTTCGATCTTTTATTGGGAATACGCAGAAAAACCTGTTGAAATTTACGGCTTTGTTTGATGATGACAATGATATCAATGGTCAATGAAACCGAATCCGTATTGAGTCTTTCGCAAATATTTGAGAATGAAAAACCATATACACATACACTCACGTCGCATCGACCTTGGCGATATAGTATGGCAAAAAATCATTTTAATAGAGAGTGCTCAAAATCATTTTATTCCATTTCAGCATCTCTACAGTCGGCATCGTTTTTCTTCCATCTTTTTCCATTATGTTGGGTTCCGTTTTGGGGTGCTAAATCTACTTTTTCCCAATGGCTTTATCAATTTATCGAATCGTTTTGTCGAATCATAAAGAACAATGTCGTACCGACTTTTTAGCCCATTTGAGTATTATGTGTCGTCTTTATTGTGCTTAATACATTGGTATACGCTTAGTGAGCATTTGGATCCATTAGAGCATCAGCGACAAAACACTTGTCGTTTGTCTCGTCCACAATTCAGTTTATTAAAAATTAATTGTAGCTCACTGGCTCCGGTTGCAAGAATATAGATCAACTTTCTTAGTGCTGGCACTGTTTTTTTTCGTCTTCTGTGTTTGTTTGTACGCATGCTGGCTTGCACCCGCGCCCGCGACATACACACAGAATGAGTAATTTCTACATTCAATTTTAAGGCGAACTCCAAATGGTGCCAACGACGCCAATAAAATGTCCATTGTAATTGCAAGACTCTATCTCTCAAACCATCAATCTCTAAATAAATACGACACGCACACATTTTGATTGATATGTCTAAATGTCGCTTTGACAATAAATAAAACGAAGACACACTGACTGTTCAAATAGAATGTTCATTCTATATTAGATTCTCGGCGGTAATTTTTTTTTGTTATTTCGTTCTCTTTCGCTTGGGTTATTTCAAGCCAGCCATATTAGGCTTGACGAAAAATGACAAAGTGAACACACAACAAACACACCAACACACATTTTGTTTATTATGAAGAGAGTATGAACTCGCACTTTCATGCAAGTGCCACCTCCACATTCTAACACTTATGATTGTGACGCTTCACAAATAATGTGGCTTTGTATCATTGTTAAACATTTTCCATCTCTTTGTCAGGTGGTTGTTTTCATTAAAAATTTGGATTGGAAACGCGGTTCATTTGTCATTTGCGAAAAAGCGCACCAAAACCAAAATATAATTAATTGACACTGAAACACAAAGAGCGTGTTTTGTTCGTTATGCTATATTGTTGTGCCGGTGTGTTGGCTGCTGTGGCATGCATATATTTGTGAGATTTTTTTTTGTTCTTTTTTACTCGGAAGGAATGATGATAACGATGCGAAAGAGAATGTAAAACGTAGCGTTCAAGGTACGCAGGATATTTGGTATTTTACACAAATGATATGAACGTAGCTGAATTTAATCCCGGGAAACTGAAACAATGACAAATTTTATCAATTTGCCCATGTGAATCCTTAGATTAGCAACATACCGTGTCACACTCAATGTCTATCCCGATAATTGTTGGTGTTTTGGTCTATTGTTATTGTCGCATGTCGTTGCAATTTGTTGGTTTTCGGAAATGTGTGGCTTTTCCTTCCGCTGTTTTACCTTTTGACTTTGGATCCATTTTAAAATTGTTGATTTGGTGGAGATTTTTTCGTCCTACTTTTAACCATGATTTTAACCCTTAAAATTTATAATCTGTGCATTTTTGCATCGTGGAAGTGGAACAAAGAATTTTGAAACATTTTTTATATAATTAATGGTAACTTTACACAATCCACACTTAAAACACTGCACTTCAGCATTTATTTTAGCCCAAGCCCAACATCTAGACATTTTATGAATCTTTGTTGCACAGCACCAATTCAATATCATATTGCATTTGAATGTAGACTGCTTTGGCACATAAACTCTGGTATATATATTCGCAAGCATATATATCCGATATTCATGAGCATTGGTCATGCCAATGCCATTCTAATGTGCTACAATGTAAACGATGGCAAGTAAAAGTTTTCGGCTCATGTTTAAGCAAATTTCAAAACTTAAATTTTAAGCGTAAGAACAAAGGCGTTAAAAGCAAATGCAAAATTTATACCATATTGAAAGCATCAAACTTAATTGCCATACCACCGAATGAAATAACTCGGTTCCATCAAACATATAAATACGTTTGGCACATTTCGAAAATAAGATTGGAAAATTCTGTGGAAAAGAATTCGCGAAATTTATTTTATGATCGACATTGCTGCATTGTATAATTGACATATAAAATAAACGCTTTACATGTGAATTTTCATGTCGACATGGACTACTTTTTATATCAATGTAATATAAATGTAAACATAACTCTCTCACATTCCATCCATGTTCGTTTTTGTTGTTATCGTCGAATGAAAATAAAAAACACGAGGAATTAATATTCAAATTTATATCGAATTCCAGCAAAAACGCAATCCATTCATCGAATACGCTACTATGAAAATAAAAACTAAAAAGTCAATAAGTTCACAGTTCAAATATTAATTTATGTTTTTCGCCATGATATGAGCGGTAGATTGGAATGAAAATTTATTATTGGATTTTTTCCCCTACATTGACAAGAAACGAGGCTGAATGAAATATTTCCAGACTTCCATCACTGAAGAACAATTGATGTTGAAACTTTATTCTAAATTCCATTTTGGTTGCATGATAAAGTTGAGGCTGATTCTACTAACCTGTTTTTCTCCTAGAATGCTTCAGTTGTCACGTATATGCCTTCGTGCTAACTTATATTCAGTGAGAAACAACGATGCAAGAAAACTGACATATTACATACATAAAAGTGCAGAAGAAAAAACCCAATGGTATAAACTACTTATAAGTAGTTTTGTGATTCTTGAGGCTATGTCATTCGATGCATTTTTTGCTTTCTATTTTAAAACGGAAATAAGAAAGTCCAAGAGATTTCAACATAAAAGAAAATGCGCATATTTTCACACTCGAAAAAAAAGCATGTTAAATATCAACGTCGTAATTCATTTCGAATGGGTAACAAAATGTCAAGAAAAAGGCCTTGGGTGATGTTTTAATTTTGGTAAATTGATTGTCATAATAGCAAAACGATTGTCTTTTTGTTTCATTCAAATGGCATAAGAAACAAATTTGTTGATTTATTGGAAGTGAATCGTCATAACCATAATGAATACATAACCATAATAAAGATTAATGAATTGCAATTTAACTTGAGTGCCAATCAGTTGGCATCCATTTTCATTGGATTTTTGACAGTTCACAAAACTATTGATCGCACCTTGTTAGGCGTACTCTTAAATAGACGTAACGTTCATTCGAATCATTATGGTTTTCTCCATCAACCAATTAAATAGACTTTAAAACAATATCTTCATAGTTTTTGTCGAGGTCGTTATGCATTATAAAAAATACCGTGTAAGCATATGAAATGCCCTTCTAAGGGTTAATTAGCTTAGCTGGAGTGCTTGATACAAAATTCAATTCTAAATTTGGTTGGCTTGAATGCGGTAGGCGTTGAACATCCGTTTTCCATTAGTTTGTTGTTGAATTAACGTCACACGCTCTGAATAGCTAATCAGTTTTTGGGTATAGCAGATGGAATGCGTCTGAATTGGATTTTGCGATTTGTGCACACATTAAAACAACAAAATTATAAATCAAATGTCTATATATGCATATTTTATGGTAGCTGTCACAAATCAATTTCGGTTTGATGCTCACCTGCGACGCTTCTAATCAAGCCGATTCACTGTGTATGATGTATGAATGTGTGTGTGTGTGCCTGCCATGAAGATGGAAATCACATAAACAATATCAGTGTCTACCTTTGTTTCCATCGACGAATTCCTTGAGTTGACACAATTTCTCGAGTATGTAATACAGTGTAAGTCTTCAATTAACTTTTCATACTCACTGTTAAATATGGTAATTCATGGTAGCACACAGCCAAACTTCTTGGCTTAGAAAATCCAATTAGTTCCGAAGCGTACTAAATGAACTCATCACATTGTAAATCACCGCATCGCATTATTAAAAAGGCAAATCTCGGTTCGTTTGACTGAAATGAACCTCAAACTTCCTTTCGTGTGCAAAAAACATTTAGACAGAATCCGAAATAAACTCACACGCCGAACCAAAAAAAGGGCACACCGAAAAATACACGATAAAGTTAAGAATTTCACGAACAAACGAACGCCAACGAGCGGATCAATTCATATTTGAAATTATAATTGAAAATTTTAATGGAATTTCTAGAGAGAACTGGTGTGGTGGCCTAACGAATGAATCGCATAAAAATTATTTTACACAAGCTTTGTCAAATGGAAATGACACTTTTGTATTCCAAAGTTGCAAATAACAAAGGCGAGTTGCGGATGGGAAAAGAGAAAAATAGCGAAAAAAAAAATGTGCACACATTTTTTTAAAAGGATCAAAAGAGCTCTGTATTTTTCGCATTAAATGGAACATAAATAGAATTATGCTACGTTTTTCTTTACTTATTCCTTTTCATATCAATCCCGCCGCTAGATTTTCCACTGGCGTTTCATTAAATGTTCCATTCTCTCACTCTGTGTATGCGAGTTTGCGAACGGAAGTTTCTTTGTCATTATCAAAATTTACAATTCAAATGGTGTTCGTTCTTTGTCGATGTAAAACAGACGTTTATCAATAATTGCAGTGTTATTTTAACAGCTAGTTGTACAACGGGTGTGCGCTATCATAAATCATTTCGTACGACATTCGCATTATGTGTCACACAGAAAATGAGATTGAGCAAGAGAGTACGAGCGGCACGTGCAACCACCAGTAGATTTATCAACGGTGCCTAAGCTTTTCAATTTGCTAATTTTTCACTTGAGAGTTGTGTGTATATGTAATTTGTTGTGTACCGTTGTCGAGTAAGTAAATCGCTTCCGTTTCTCATGATTGGATCGTTTTTATTCTAAATCGCTAAATCGTTTTAATTTTTTTCTCTCTTTTTTTTGAATAAAAGAAAGAAGAGAAAGATGAAATTGTGTGGGGATCGGTGCGCACACCTGTTTCACATCCTTAGTAATTGTGCACATAAGCTTTCATTTAAATTCGCTGTGTTGAATGCATTCATAGTCTCTTTCAGATCTCTGTTCGCGATATTCAAATCCATTAATTATGATGTTCAAAACCATTCGATAATCCCATCGAAAATTTATGCATGCAAAATTAACGACGTACAATCAAGAGAAAAACAAACCAGATATTATCGAATGGAAATAGTTTTTATTGAGCGTGTATATGAGAGTAAGTCATTGGTTTTGATGTTGTTGGCCGGCGTTGATTTTCATTTGCGTCGTATATACTTTCATCATCGTAAAAGTGTACTCTTCTTGCAGCACAATATTTCTTTTTTTATTCCCATCCATTTTTGATTGTATTTTATGGTCTTGAACTGAACTATTCAAACATAAAATTGATTATCATTCAGTGAACTGCATGATCTCCAGCAGCTTATCTGCATCCCAGTACATTGTTGATTGCAAAGGAATGGCTGTATTGATTTGCTCTTTTTGTTGTACATGCGTCCAAAAGGCTGCACACTAATAAACTAATGCCTGGTCGCTCTCTTAAAATCGATACGGAATCGAGAAGAGAAAGAGAGAGAGAGAGGGACCAAAGCGCAAAGAAAAATGACGTATAAAATCCTGATTCATTGCCGCTGACAAATGAGAATGGAAGAGAATAAGAATGCGAATGACAAAACCAACAATAGTGGATCTGACTGCGGCAAATGGCACTCACAGAAAAATTTGCGGATATTTTGAACCCAGAAATAGGTACAAAGCCCAGCGGAATGATTTTTGGGTATAACTTAACCGAAAAATCGGTTGAGACTTAAAGTTTGAGAATTTTGATGAGACTTGAACATAGAACTGTCATTTTAAAATTCTGAAAGTACGTGAACACGGTAGAACGTACGATCACACGACTATGTGCATCGCACACAATGCTTATATTTTCAATGTGCACGCACATTTACATAGAAGTTTAACATTTCAAATATTGGTTCTGAATTTTAAAAACTCAATTTTTCGGCAATTGTCAAACTTCTATGTAAATGTGCGTGCACATTGAAAATATGAACATTGTGTGCGATGTCGTGTTCACGTACTTTCAGAGTTTTAAAATGACAGCTCTGTGTTCAAGTCTCATCAAAATTCTCAAACTTTAAGTCTCAACCGATTTTTCGGTTAAGTTATACCCAAAAATCATTCCGCTGGCTTTGTACCGATTTCTGGGTTCAAAATATCCGCAAATTTTTCTGTGAGCAATAAGAATTTATACCAGAGTGGCGCATGTAAGAATTGAAAATTCTTTTTGTTCATCTTATTTCCGTCCTTTTTTCCATTGCGTCACATTTATATATAATTTTTTGTTTATCAGCAGTAAGAAGACGTTCTTTCTGTATTCCATTTTCTTTTCGCGCGTATTCCCTTGATATGGCTCAGCATTTTGTCGATATGCCATTTCTCTCTCTCATTTTCTCTCTCACTCCACTACTACTTATTTTCTATTGACACAATTAGGAAATGCTTGAAAATTATGTCGACAATATCCGCGTGGTGTTGTTGTCCTCATCGTCTGAATGTGATATATGAATGTGTACGTGTATGTGTCTAGAAAAGGCAATGCTGATTGCAAAAGAGAAACCTCAATATGTGTTGTATCGCGTGAATATTATGTGGTTGATATGAATAGCTTTGCAAAAGCAGACTCACAAACACACACCATCACCATACGAACGAATTAAATAAAGCACGTTGAGGTGCAAGTCATACAATTTCTTTTATAAGACATTAACAAGAATATCCTCCCACAAGATTATGGATGTATTGTAAACTTACCTAATGTTCTCTTTTTTTTTTGTTTTCATTCTTCGTTACGCTTCGATTTTTTATTTCGGTTACAATAATGCATCGTCTTGACTGCACACAGACCGTGTGATCGAAATTTACGTGATGCCGAACTCATATCCTGTCGTTTACGACGTGTTGAACCACTATGCCGTTTGCCTGGCTCAGCGCTACAGCAATTGGCCATGTGTGGCTTCTACGAAGATTTAGAGAAAGGAATCACCTGTGAGTATTGTTATTTATAGATTTCTTTAACCTTCTTCTATTTGTTTGGCGGTTTTCTTTATTTCATTTTTGCACTCTCATTTTCTTTCCATCTTACATGATTTATCGATGCTATCAAGCATCACAATGTAATAACTATTTCTTTATCGGGGTATATTTGACCATCAATTTGGACGTAAAGCCATCATAATACCATAATACCGTCATTTGGATTAACTTTTATTTTCATTTTTATTTGTACTCTCTCCTGCTGGTTTTTTTTTCTCTCTCGCCGCTTTTGTGAATCGCATGTTAATTACCACCATCATAGATTAATGAGATAAAGAAACAAATGACCGTAATACGAGGCGCTAAAGTTAAACTTCAGCTCTCTCGTTTGCGACTCTCGTCTCGTATAAATTACATTGATAATTACATGATGAAAATGCACAGAATCCGTTCGTTACCGTTTATTTTATTTTTATTTATTTTTTCATGTTCATTTCCATTGCAGTATTTCGAGCCGGCGAACAAGGTCGTTTTTGGTATGCGGTACTCGGTGGATCGTTGGAAGTTCGTTATCATGCACCTGACACAGAAAATAAGGTATGAAATATATTTTCACATTGTAATAGAGGATGTGTTGGTGTTGTTGGCACACCTCTGGTACTGCTGTCCAAATCTTCTTGTGAATAGATATAGAATATAGATAAAGTGTAAAAGCTTTTTGTATAATAATAATAATACGAAGAATGAACGACTATCTTACATCGTCTTAATCAGCTTACACACAGATATCGTGCACATTAACTGATGCTACTGTTTCTATCGTTTAGCTATCTTCATAACCATTTGCATGCCGTCCGTTTCGTCCACAATATAACATCTTAATGGTGCATTTGCTCTGTCTGCCGTCGAAAAAGTTGCTCGCCCGACCATTTGTATTTCTTATATTAAGAAAAAGAAGAAGAAAAAAACATCTTTTCACACAGAGGAAATTACGTGATAATTTGTCGTACGGTAAAAATGCACGCATCAATACCGTTAAACAGTTAAACCACAACACGCAGCACAAAATACAAAACAAAAACACAAAACTCGCTTCTTGGGTCTGGTCGGTTTCGACTCTTCACATCAGCTATGTCAAAGCGTATTAAATGTGTCTTTCTAGTCAAGGAAATGAAATTATGTGCGGTATTTGGTGGGAAATTGGTGTCGTTTCCGTTGAATGGTTGGTGTATAAGTTTTAATTGATTTGTTTACATTGATTTGATTAACATGTTTTTGCGTGTGTTTCGCTCTTCGTTACCCTCCCCCGGCCGAATTCCACTCAATATATCCAACACGTACGGATGTTGCTTTCAGTTTTGCCACACTCAAGAATTCCCTTTCGTGTGTCCAACAGTCCATTGGACGGCTGTAAGAAATGGCGGTAATTTGGTTTTTGCACATTTTTTTCGGCCTCAAATCCAATTTATATGATATAAATATAACAGCCGAAAATTAAGTATTTTATTGTGCGTGCTAAATCAGAGCGTTGGCCAAGATATGCATTGTGATAAGTATGTTCGTTTCAGTCACACAATAACCTTTAATGCGCGTTTCTAGTAGCTTTAGCTAACTAATGCTAAACAAGTTTATCTAAACACACAAGCAATGTGTACTCCATGCAATGCTTCCGCTTTTCGTATCTTTCGTTTATTTTGCATTTGCCGTATTAAATGCGAGCGTACAGAGTGTGTAGCGCGCGCGCGAGAGAGAGAAAGAGACGCGTTGAAGAGTGGGAATACAGAGAGAACGATTGAGTGGAATGAGAAGTGTTGAGATATACACAAACATTCATGCTATTCCAAAAGGTAGCAAGTAGCAGCAGTTTATCAAAGCCAGTCATATTTCATTAATTAAACGAACCGGCAGTAAAACGCATTAAATGAAAATTGGCCAATCATTTCGCGCGTAAATCTGCTCTATACGCGTTCACTTTTTGCATTTTATTGTTCACGATTAAAAACAGTGAACACACCGAGTCAGCGATACAAAAGCGACGAGAAAAAAAAACAAATCAAAATAACACACGAAAAAAAAAAGACAGAAGAATAAGCAATCCCGAGATTCTGCCAAGTGTGCTCTTGGTGTGAATCCACGCATACGATTAAATATTTTGTCGTAAATGAATCAGTGTGTGCTTGTGTAAGAGTGCCATTTATTTTATTTTTTTGCTTTTCACAAAACAGATTTATGGTGTAAATATATCGTTTAGTCGTAAAAATTTGTGCTGTGTGCTTTATTTTTGATGTGCTACTGAAAATATAATAATAACAGGCGACTTTTAGTCACCGTTTCAGGACAACAGATTGAAAATGCAAAGCAACCAAATAAAAAGAATTGAGTAACGAACAAAAGGACGGTGGCAAATAAATAACAAGTGAAATTAGACTGTTCGAGATGACAAAAGATGTGATAAATTGTTGCGCTTTCTTCACATAAATGGTGAAATGTAAAACAAGCAAGGCCTCATTCAATGGCCAAAATGGTCCATTTAAAAAATACATAAGATTTCCAATGTATGTGAATAGTTGAAAGTTTCATATTTGCTCGAAAGGCATTGGCAAGCAAAAAGAGAAAAATTCTCAATACAATGAAATGAAACGACGAATTATATGTGGTCAGTCTACGAATGAAGTTTTTCGATCGTAAACCAAGTTGATGCAAATTTAAACGTGCCACATAACAAATGGAATGGATTATAGGAAGTGAACACACACAATTCTTCTTTAGATTGGATTTTTGCTGATTGTAGACTTTTATTTACTGTTTTATAGTAACGAAGCGGTTGCAAGCATGACTTATTTGAAAGCAACTGCCAATAAAATGGCAAAAGATTTAGAGTTAGAGTAAGAGAAACAGGGAATATGGCAAAACAAAAACCATTGACGAATAACAATAATACACACACAAAGATTGGCCGAATGAAAGTGAAACAGTAAACTCACGTTCCACGTTTTGTGCACACCATTTTTCGTCAGATAAATTGTTGAGCGTAGCTGTCGTACATTTCAAGCGTTACGTCTGACAAACAAATTTTCATTCAGTTTTTTTTTTTAAGAAAAAAAAAAATAATGAGTTTTCTTCACGCTTAAGCATCTAAAAGAAAACAACAACTCAAAAAAAAACACCTTTGATTGTGTTGGCTGTTTATCTTTTCAGTGTAAGTGTCTTTCACTTTCGCGCATATCAAGCAACAAATTTGGCTTTTACTCTTCTCGTGCATATAGCATATTTCTCAATTGTTGCAAACAAACAAAAATTCCAGTTTTATTCGAACTTCATCGTCAACAAATAGAGCAAAAAGCAAAAAATCCAAATTGGTGTTCGGTGTGCTGTGTCGATTTACGTAAGAAGAAAAAAAGAAATCCATTTATGTGTAACGCCAGAAAAAAGGCCATAATTTTTTTTCGTCTCTTACATATTGGACATTTCCTAAGATGTTTTGCCACAGAAAAACACTTTCAAGTTTCTTTTATACTTTGTTGCCAATAGCATCTCGTTTACTATAAAGTAATCAAAATTACAGTGCTCATATTGGCTTCGAAGTAAGAGAAGAAGAAAAAAAAGCGGCGAAAAATCGTCAAGAAATAAAAAGTAAAAGAAAAAAGGAGAGAGAAAAAAAACCTTGAAAACAATTTGCCAACTACATTCGGTTGGCTGTTAGAACGTGCGGTAGATAATTAGGAGCAATTATGTACCAAATGAAGTTAGACTGGAAGCGAATGATGAAATCTGATGGAATTATCGATGATAATAATGAAAATCGTATTACTATTTCGTAATATGTGGCGATTATGGCAATAAACCGTATAACGAATCTTCAAGTCGAGGCTAAATTTTGTTGTTTTTATGTTGCAATTCACGTAATTCCATTTTAAATATTTCATGATCAATTTTTTTCTGCGGCATTTTGTTTGTATGTTATTGGTGCATTGCACAAAAAAAAAACCATAATGCTCGACTGAACAATTCGAATCGTACAATAAATGGAAAAATAAAAATAAAGAGCGCACACATAACACTCACAAAGCAATTACAACCATTCAAATTTGCATTTGCGAAGGTTTTCCGCTTGCTTTTCAATGAACTTCATTCAATCGCTTCAATGTTTCAGCTGACGCACTTTTTTCATTTATATATATTTGTGTTATATTAATCAAATTGAAGATTCGTAGAACTTTTCAATAAAATTCAATTAAATACTGCTCATACTCTATCGTACATTGTTAATGACTTTGAACAAAAGCGGAAAAACAAAAGCAAACAACAAAAATAAATAATTTATCGAAAATTGTGGAATAAGAGATAAAAAATCGGTCGGCTATATTCACGCATACCACTCACAAATTTCAATTCGCATTCGAATTCGAATTGATGAAATTAATTCATTGAGCTCATCATATAAATACACGAACGATAGACAACAGATAAATTGAGAGACACGATGTGTGCAAAATGAACACAGACGACTACAACAGCAAAATAAATAAATAAAAATACATAGCGTGCAAAAAAAATGATAACAAAACGAAGAAACACACTCGAATCCCACAAAATGGTAATTCGTTAAAGCAAATTGTGAATCGTCATTTTGTGCTGCAAAACTGTGTGTGTGTTTTTTATCATGTATGTTTGTATTGCTGTATTTTGAGACATTAACATGGTTTATCAGTTTATAAATGTATACGCGGAATGTGTGCGATTCGTGTTCTTTCGCTTCGTTTACATTCATATAATGGATCTTTATCAAAACGTTCGAAATAAACATTTTTGTTTACAATTCAATATTCTAGTAATCCTCTTTTACCGCTCTTCTCTCTCTCTCTCTCTCTCTGTCTTTATCACTGTCCTCATATTGACAATGGTCATAGAACCGAAAAGACTGCTCTTATTCTGCCTTTTTCATCAATCTAAAATTCACTTTTTTTCATTCACATGTTTGCCAGTCGGCTGAATCATTTTTCCCTTTGAATATGAATTATGCGAATTCGTCGTCATGTGTGTGTGTGTGGGTTTACATGTTCGGTCTTCTGTGCCACAAATTTTTCAGTTAGTTAACGTGCTGATTGGTCCCGAGTATATTTTGCTTAAGTTTCATGTATAAACAACTCTTACGTTTGTATTTCTCATTAAAATTGGTAATCATGATGTTCGGGTTCAGACAATATTGTACATGTTTTTTATCGGTTTTGCTTTATCTTTATCGTCGTCGTCGTCGTCATCATCATTGTCGTTGGTATCTATCAATGTTCAAGCCGCTTGTCGTAATCGCAATACCGATACGATGAAATGACAAAAGATATTTGTGCTCTGGATGATCGTCTCTCGTTCATTTCGTTTGCGGTTTTGTGCGTTTTACACAATCTATTTGCTTGTTTTTTATTGAACTGTTGGGCGCCATAGTATCCCATACACATTTAATGATATTTTTGCGGTTAAATGAAACTTTGCATCTGTAAAAATCGATTCTGTTAAAGTCATTTGTGAAGATAAGTGAATTTCAAGTGTTAAATATGGTTTGAATGTGTTGAGCTGCGATTTGCATATATTGTTAGAGATACCGACGAGGCGGTTTCAGACGGTTAAAGTATCCCCTCAGAAAGAGAAAAAAAAACATGATCCGAATGTCTCCATCGACTGTGATTTTTTTTTTTTTTAATTTAAAATCAACCAAATGTTTATTTTAGTTTCATGCAATCGCCATTTCAACGACTTTGGCTACAAACAGTGAATGAAACCTGGAGTTCCCTCTCTTTCTCTCCCCGTCTATTAATAATTACCATTTCTATGGAATGGAAAGTTAAAGTGCAATTCGCTGGCAAAATGGCTGGATGGTAGAAATGAATCGTGCGTGCTTGAAATAAAGATTTCATTCTGTTTTTTTTTTCCTTTAGAAAATGAAATTATTCGTGTTTTGACCTTTTTCATTCGCCTCAAAACAAATTAGTCTAGCAAACAAGTGCAAGCATAATCATATTGTTCTTGTCATATGATTTTTTTTTATTGTGTTTGGCATTAACTTTCGTCCAATGTAAATAAATGAACAATCAAAAAATGTTTCTGTTCATTATGAAACTATTTAAGCCAAAATGAATAAATGAATGGGAAAAACATACAAATAAATATATGTTGCGTGCACAAAACGATTGTGACCGAATTCCAATTCCGAACAACCGAAATTCAAATGGAAAAATCTAACAAATAAAGACTTTTATCAGGAAATCGAAATCAAATAATGTGACCAATGTATATTTATCATTATTGTTGGCATTTTTATGTTCATATCAAAATGTATCATTAACACAATCAGAAATGGTGATAGACAGAAAATCAAATCAACTATTTGCTTCGGGCAAATCTTAATATTCAGGCGCTACATTCACAGCGTATATTGATTCAATCGAATCGATTGTCAACTTCCAAATGTAAACAAAACGAGAGAGAGAGAGAGAGAGAGAGAGAGAGAGAGAGAAAAATATGATGAAAAAGCCATCACACAGTGAATAAACGTAAAATAGACGTTGGTGTGTCTCGTTAACGAACTAACAGTGAAATTGAATTAAATATAGTGTGCTTGGTAAAACCACTAGAACGCCATAGTGTTTGTAGAATGTGGTCTCAGCGCAAAGTGTACGATATACAAAAAATAACGCGACAAAATCAAAAGGTAAAAATGATAGCAGTTTTATACTATAAGAGCTAAGTTGTGTATTGCAAAACAAAAATAAACACAACGGCAAAAATAAAGAGCAACACACACACACCGGGAGCGGAGAGAGAGTGAGGCGAATTGCGAAACTCAAAAGTTGAGTTGCACTCAAACATTCATTCGGGTTAGGGACACGGGAACACAGAGTACAATTCAATTTAGATTATGGAATACCATTTTATTTTTCACTTTTCCTCTCACTCTCTCTCTACCGGGGCCGTTCTAGCCTCAGTCTCTGTGTGTTATTTTTATTTATGTTTGGCGTTATTAAATTTTACTGAATTAGTTTTTTTACCCCATAGGTATGAATTATATGCATACATTCAATTCGACAAAGGACACCACGTACATACGCACATATTTTACATGTAGTACATAAAGTTCGCGGCGTGCTATAAATGACTTTTCCCAATTGGCTTTGCCACATCCATGCCAGAAAAATATATATGAGTTATATGTTTGTTGATTGTATGCTTTGGTGGCAAGTTCAAGTGAACACCCGCCTATGACATTGCAGTGTGAAAATGATTTTTTTGTTTTGTTCTTATTCGACGTATACCTTGGGACTACCATAAAAACAATCAAACGTATTAAGTTGAAGAACTTTAATTTTTTTTAAGTTTATCTGTTTATCATATTCTCTTCCCCACTTAAAAGTTTTTATGCAATGCGAACGATAAAAAAAGCACGCGTAATTCATCATAGGGGACGCGATTGTCCTTAGGCTTTAGTATTTATGTCACAGTCTGTGACTCTCAGATGCTTTGCAATGAAAACTAAATCATTGTCATTCATCAGGCATTTCAGTGCCATAACGTAGATGCAATGGCGATGGAATTCATTCTTGCACCACACGTAATGCTGAATTCTTTGGCACCGTTATCATAATAAATATGCGATTTTTATTCGTTTAAATGGATATCATAAACGATGTTTAATAGAATAAAATCCATTAATCTTAATTATTTGCGCTCTTTCATCGTTGATACGGTAATTTCGTTGCTTTTTCTTGCAATGACATTCAATTAATTTATTCTTAATCAAATTGAGCTTTTTAAATTAACGTGTTTTATATATAATCAAGTAATATGCCATTACGTTGTGCAAAACCATCAGCGAATTTTTTTTTTATCGTTAAAGACATTTTTCATCTATTCTTTGCAATATCACTGGATGCGAGCACATTTTGCTTTGAATGGCTCTCATCTTTTTTGTTATGAGAGCATTTACAATGCTTCAATGGATTTAAAATCAATTTTGTTAGTGTACGAACATCAAATATATTCATATGAGAGAACCGGATTTTCATTTCAAAAGGAAGTCAACGCATTTCAATGTCGACCTTTTTTAAGGCAAAATATCATTATAATCTTCCTTTTTTTGCAGTTTATGCACAAAGGCAAACAATCAAAGAAGAAAAAGGGTAACTGAAAGCGAAATAAACAGACTATGACAAAAAGCAAACAAAAAAACAACGATCGCGCAACTGTAGCCCGCAAACTGATAAAACAGCTGTGACAAAATACATGAATGTAGGTGTCGATGCCGTCGATACGAAAAATGACGCATTTTCGATGAATATACTTATACATATATATATATATATATATATGAGTGTCTACGCGTGCATTTACAAAGATTCAAACGAATTCATCAAATGATTGAACATCATCACCTCTCTTTTCACATAATCAGTTGGTTACACATGGCCCGACGAACACATCGGCATTTTGTGTGACACATTTTGTGCGATTCATTCGATGTCAATCTGAATTTTTCGATTTTCGTATATCTTCACATGTATTCAAAGCCCTACATAAAACAAATATCCAATATGTGTACGATACACACCTTCGTATAAACAAACCGAAAAAACAGCATCACATGGAAAAGCTCGAAACTAATTTCCGATTATTTTGTTGGTTTTATTTGTTTGTTCAGCCATTTGGTTGTACATTTTCGGTCTTTTCATCCGTTACCCCCTTGTATGTTATTCTGCAAGTGGGATTTTCTGCAATTATCCAACTGTAAAGCAATTCGGTGTTTTTATTTATCAACAACAACAATAACATTTTATATCGTATGACCCCTGTTTAATTCAATAAAATCGAACTTTAAAATAGAGGGAATCGTACTACCCAATAAGTTTGCATCTGATTCACACTTTTTAGCCATTAGATTGGAATTCTATTTCACAATGCCAAATTTATACTATATATAAATTTCCGAAGTATTTAACTTTAAGCGCATTTCGTTTGAAGTGCTTTTGTATTAAATAGGAGAAAAGACACATGTATTTCTTTTTTCGAAATTCTGTTTTATTTCACTAACTCGAATGCTTTTTGTTTGTTCCGTTTTTTTTTCCATGTCTTGTTTTTTTTTTTTTTTTGCTGCAATGGCCGTTTCTTCTGTGTTCAACACACACCAGAGCCCTGTAACACTGTGCAATTTAGGTGTTGGAGCTACATTTGGTGAATCAATCCTGCATGATCTGCCGCGCGATAGCACAGTTGTGACAAAAACGACCTGCGAACTATTACGTGTTGAAACGAAAGATTTCCGTTTAATATGGGAGGTAAGTTTGTGTGTTAGTGTATGTGGGTGTGGACGAGAGTGTGTATCTATCATTTAGCCGAGTGCGATTATTTCGAATTTGCCGAGGTAGCTATAATATGTTATGATGTGTATTTTTGGTTGTATGCATGTTGTGTTTTTTACACTCAACTAGAAGTGTGTTTTATATCGCTCTGGGGATGCATACATAAAGTACAACAGGCACGTTTTAGCCACACACTTTTGTCTTTGTTCCGGCAAATGAACGGATTTTCATTTCTATTCACGTTTCGAATATCAAACACAACACAACCATTATGAAATTCCAGTGATCCTTTTAGTACTTTCATGCTATTTCACGAAGCTTTTTTTTCTTCATCTTGATGATTGTGTCTATAATTCAGTGTGCTTCTCATCACCATCTTCTTCTTCTTCTTGGTCTTCGTCTATTCAATAAATGGTTAAACGGTTTACGGGTGATTCGCTGGGTATCAATAGTTGAAAGCGACACAGGAGAGAGGATGGAATACGTGCGTTCGATTTTGATGTAAAATTTTACACGAGACGTTGATCTCTTGATGATTTCAAATAGATTGTTCCAGTTTTTCGACTCTTACTTTGAGCCACTCATAGCCGTTTCACCGTTTTGGTTTTTTGTTTTTTGCATGTGCTGCAAAAGTTGTAAGCTTCTAAACTGTCCTCCGCATCCATAACTGGATCAATCGATATTAATATACATATGGATAAAATAGCTGAGTTTTGCAAAAAAACGTATAAAGATTCGCACACAAAAACCACCATTCGCTGTATCATGAATATGAAAAATGGAAAAGTAGCGCTTTAATACTCTAATTAACATTTTATATCCTTATTCAATAGCTTGAGCGAATGTAAGTACAACTTGAATACACTAATTGTGCTTAATTTCCTGTTCATAAGCTTTTATCGTTTGAAGCGAAGGTAAATTTTCTGGAAATATGTCTTTATTTATGCTTTCACATTTTCCATACGAAAATTTTCTGTGAAAAATCGGGCGAACGTAATATATGTATACATGTAAATGTAATGTCGTTTTTTTTACTGTCAAGTAAGACACAGTATGCTATGACGTTGATTTTCGTAGTATTCAGTTATCTCGGTAACAGAAATATGAATATCTATATATATAAAGACTTTTATTGATTATTTTTTTTTGTGCTGCTGCTCTTCAACGAGCTTAGCTTACGTTGATTTCTTCCTCGTCATCGTCGTCGTCATCGTCGTCAATGAGTACTTTGCGTACCTATCCAGGAGTTTGTTATGCTCTCACATTTATATTCGCATTCACATTCGCATTCATATAATTCTTGCTTTTACCATGAAACATTTACGATTTATAAGAGTTAGGCATGATACACAGCACGCTGTGCGAAAATATTCTCGCATTAATTCAATTTTTACATATCTCATATTCCTTTGGTCGTTTTCATTGGCGTCAGCCTCATCACATTCACATTTTTTTTGCGAAAAAAGAAGCGTACGTTACCCTATATATTTTTTGTATTCGTATATGTTTTGCTTTTTTCTTTTACTTTTGCTTCTTCTCATTCTTCCTTTTCCTTTTCTGCGACATTCTCAACCAACTGTACTTTCCCAATCAGAACACTTGAGATGAAATCTCGCATAGAACGATAATCTCTTTGAAAACGATTTTGTTCCTTTTTCGATGGGGGTGTGTGTGTGTGTTTTTTTGCCACTTTCTCCGTCATTTGCCATTACCAGCGAAACATTGAATGGTAAAGCAACAGTATAAACGAGAAAAAAAATCAAACATATTCTACTACTTATGCGTTCGCAATGAAAGTGTCTTTGTCACCGATTTGTTTTTTTTTTTCACTTTCTCTTTCGTTCGTTCTAACTTTGATTTTATCGCCATTCTTAAAGAGTATTTTGTAAAAAAATTGAGTCATCTAAATGCAATACGCGCATAATACAAAATTGTTTTGAAAACTTTGTATCTTTTGTGTCTCCATTATACTCTTTTGTTCATGCATTGTGTGCGGTGCTCATGTTGCTGTGTGCGTGTGTTTGTTGCCTCTCAGATAGATCTTAGGTTCTTCGATTTCTGGCTTCATATATTGTTTTACAAAGCAGAAAATTTGATAGACTAGATGGATGTTTGTAGCATTTGTGTGATATGTTGGTTGAGTTGGCCGCGTGCTTGTCTCTTCCTAGCTTTTTTTTTTCTTCAAACGATCAAACATCGTTTGTGTTGTGTCTTTTTTTCTGCGCTTCCACTCTCACCCTCTCTCTTGCCATTACACTTTAAATGCATTTAAACAACATGTTGACAAAACAACATGTGCAAATAACAGAAAATTTCTTTTTTTATGTGCACAATATTACAATTTTATGTACTACATTAACTACTTTTTTTATGATTGTGAGTGTGTTATATAGTGTGTTACTTTGTTTGGTATCAATATAAAAGGAAAAAACCCCTATAAACCGTTCAGGCGGTCGGCGAACAGATTTGATTTTGATTTTGTTTTTGTATTTATGTGTACATGTATTGTGTTAGCATTGGGCTTTATTTTTATTCTTCGAAAAGTGTATGTTTGGTTACTGTTTATATTTTCTAGCCTAACCATTTCCATCTAAGCAAACACACCGAAACGGGATAAAAGCGAAACACAGAGAGAGAGAATTGGTAGACAAAAAATGATTTCTCTATGGCAAAATCTGTAGTCTGAAAACTTTTTCGAAGGTAATCTTGATTTGAAAGCGTTCGCTGGAAATTTGTTCGCTTCAATGAGAGAAAGTAAAATCGAAAGATTTATTTTGATTCTTTTGTTGGTAATCAAAGAACGTACAAGCTTCAATCCATTCAGTTGAGCCCGAAATGGAGTGCGATAACATCGATGGGTGAAAAATGTAACGAAATCGATCTGATGCTCGAACGAAAGAGAAAGAAGACAAAAAGAGAAAAAAACTACCTCTCTCTCCATTTTGTTTGCTCCGTTTCTCTTTCTCTCTCCCTCTCTCTCTCATCCATAAGTTCCGTTTGCTCAGTGCAATCGAACAACATGCTTTGATAAATATTTACTTTGTGAAATTAGAATCGATGCACTCTCGCGTGTCGAATTTAACAAGTTCAAAAGTACATAGCGCTGTGCAACGATGCAACGTGCGCAACGAAAGTGTATTTACTCTCACACTCAATAAAGCTTTAGCTGATTTTGTGGATATACTTGTTGGAAATTGAAAATCTTATGCTTAGGTGTTTTGTATGCATCCGTTAAGAGTTTAAATATCGCTCGATTTAACTTTTTATATTTATCAACCAATGCTTTAGCCCCTTTCCCTCCCAGCATCTAATCAATATTTACATTTCTCTATATATTATATGTGTACCCTTTTTTTCGTATGCTGTTTTAAACTATCTGTTTTCATTTGATTTTCTCTCTCTCTTTTCTTTACAGAAAAATAAAGAATTAATGAACGACATTATCACCAATTGCAAACTCAAAAATGGTAAGCACTTTTGGTCATGCGAAACGGAATATTTTTTTTCTTCTCTCTCTCTCTCTCTCACGATGCAAGAAAGTTGGACTGAGTGAGAGAGACAGAGAAAAAAAATCGCACGAATTACAAACTAGATCGAGAAATAAGGGTCAAACACATGTTGAAATTAAAAGAAAAATTGCACGTAAGCGAGTGCGTGAAGTCTTGCGAAATTTTGACGGATATGATTCATATTAATGCACCAAATGTACATACGCCATACCATTATATTAAAGTTTCTCTTCATCGCATTTGAAATTAATGAATTCTTTTGAAATATCCATTCGACGCAATCAAAATGAGCAACACCAATCAAATACTGTTTTATACTATGGAATAAATGGTGTTTTGGCGAGCAAAATAGAATCAACCATTCATCTAATATTTACACGATGAAAAATGAAATTCAGTGCATAAGCTGATTTTCGATGACTTACACATACAAAGCTAAAGAATTTAAGACGAAAATACTTTTAATACTTCGATGTCAAAATTGGTTTGCAGCATTTCCATCTCACCACCTTACACTTTGCAAATACAGTTATGACAGCTTCAGTGCAAATGTTACGACGTGGAACTATTCCGTGCATGCTTTATATTCATCGACCATTTATGAACAGTATATTATTGACGCGCATATGTTGTTATCGTTGTTGTCTCGTTTCAATCTCATAAATAAAATTCGATAAAAGAACATGGAAAAAGAAAGATAACCGTACTGTGTCCAAAATCTAGATACAGGCTTATATGTATATGTATACATGTTCAATATGCCGAAAGCAAGAGTTGCGGAGAATGTTCATTATTCATATTTTTAATACCACACAACGGTACAGTGCGGCGTAGCTGAGTTAAAATATCAAGCGTATATTTTAGAAATAAATCGTTTGAGAAAATGGAGCCATTTTTTGCAATAACAAATGTGGATTTGGTTCGATTTTAGACACGAACGATTTTTCTATACTTCAACGACTTTAGGTTGAAACGAGACTAGGTTATGGATCGCGATTTTTTTTTTTACATTACTGATAAGAGATATACATACTCTTCTCTCCATTTCACCAATAAAAATATTTGGACAAATCGGCCAAAAGATTGGTATTTTACTTTAAAAGTAACTTGTTTAAGATATATATATAACTTTCTAAAACATCAGACATTCGTGTCATTTTTTTGGCCATTTAATTTGATTTGTTACCCGTGATAGCGACATTTCTTCTTTTAAATGATAAGATGTTATGTTAAATTTTTGATCTCAAGAAGATGAACAAAGAAAACTGTCGGATTTCATTTAGGTTTTATGAATTTTTGATGATTTTCTCACGACCCAAATGCAAGTCATCAGTCATTTTAATGTAAAATACATTTCCCCATTTATGAAAATCATCATTCGGAGCATACATTTTTATTATCATGTAACATGGCAGAATTAATTATAAAAAGAGAAAAAAAAAAACAGAAAACCACTATGATACTATTGAAAATAATCTGCATATGATATGAACAACGAACAAGAGATAGCGATTTTGTTTCATTTTTGTTGTTGTTTTCATTTAAAAAAAAACCGAAAATTGGACAAAATTCAACATTGTTATGCTCATTCGAAACTGTACGGCCCAAAACAATTGTATACAATATACATTGCAATAAAAAGAACACTTGCGGTGTCAAAACCACACACCTGACGTAATATGTACAATTGTGTGGATGTGAATGACATATTTGAATCATTTTGGGCTGGTCGAATGTACATAATGGCATTGACATGTGTCCAGCTCACTGAAAATCAGCGTGAATATAAGCCAAAAATATTCGAAAATCGGGTGAAAATTTCCATAATTGGTTGTGTACATACAACGGTGCTCGTTTATTAAATACGTTTCTGTCCGTTACATACACATAACTTAGATCAAAACCAACTTCCATTGCATTAGCTGTTGAGAAGCTTATGATTTGGTTACATAATTTTGATCTTGGGTTCTAATTGAAAATTATATTGGCTTAATGCAAATTTTTGTTTGACCACTGTTTTTTGTTGTTGTCAATTTTACACCGTACGTTTGGGGTTTTTTGTTTGTTTTTTTTTTTTTTTTTTTTTTTAATTTCTTCCATTGGTTTGGTTTGCTTTGCTTTTGGTTTATGCAGAATTTTTTTTTTTTGCTTTTTTTAATTTAAAATTTATTGATCGATTGTGAATTTGTGTGCACCAGTTTTATACATTTAAATGTTGCATAGGTTTTGGACGTGGTATCACACCGGCCGCACAGACGTCACCTGTTCGTCGCGCAAACAGTCCAGATCATCCAAATCCGGCATTAGCAATCACGGAGATTCCAAGCCCGGCTATAGCACGAATTGGATGGGCACTACGTGTTCTATTACTATCTGATAGCTCCAGCTGTCTCAAAGATCGAAAGGTAAATTTGTTACGTTGACGATTAAATGGGAAAACATTTTCCGAGGAAAAATAATATAGTGAAAAACCGAAGGCGAGCAAAGGTAGAGCAAAAAGAAAAAAAAAGAAAAAATAAAAACACACAAAAAAGAATGAAAATAAAGATGATATCAGCAATGTAATAGCGTAGCATAAATAAGCATCGCTCGACCAAAGTAGGAAAAGCAATACATAAAAATCCAATTTAGCTGTATCTAATGTTATTACCGACGTCGATGAGTGAATATGCCGTATAAAAACAATAACATAATGGTTTGATGTGTTTTTTTATAGGTTTCAGGCAAATTGATTCGAAAATGTGCTTTGGGCACCGAACTTGTCGACTGGCTGATGAATTTATCGGTAATCGTGCATACAAGAACACAGGCAGCTGGCATGTGGCAAGCTATTCTCGAGGAAGGTGTTTTAAGTCACGGTAAGTAGCACATTCATACAGTTGAAAGCGTAACTGGATGATTTTATCTGTTCGCCAATTTTAGATTTACCTCTATCGTTGGCTTTCATTTGCACACAAAACATTCAGTCTTCTCGATGTATCTTCTCTTTTTTGCATTGTTTTCACTCGATCCTTAAACCAAAATTGAAGGTTTTTACATTATTACGGTAGTCTTCAACAACGATTACTGTTTTCTGTTTGAAACTACTTCAAGATTCATTACATTTATTGATATAATGACGATATAAAACCGGATACCAGTAACCGCAATGCGAATTGATTTCTCTTCATCAACGAAAACGTATTATAAGAAATAAATGATCTCATTTTAAATAAAGAGGTTTATGGTTGCGATTATATTTTATTTTCTTTCTTTATTTTTGTCTCTTATTTATATATATATATATATATCTAACACCATTCAATTTCCGTTCTTTCGTTTTCGATACCGGACGAATAAAAATCACGGCAAATCCGAACAGTGAACAAAGAGCAACCGTTTAAAGATAAATGTTTCTTATATCGATTCAAAGTGGATGAGGATGGTACTGGTGGACAACCAACATCAGACGAACAAAATGCGGCAAACGAACATGTACGAGAAGCGTTGGGCACTCTTTTACATCGTGGTTCTGATGCTACGCTACGAATGATTTTACGAAAAACGTAAGTTTTCTTTTCCGTCTTTACATTACGAAAATAGAGATGAATATCCCGTTCGCAAAAGGAAATTTGAGTGTTTCAGCACAAAACCACTTACGGCCACTTTCAAACATTGCGCCGTGATTGTAAACAGACATCAGTCGTTTTGAACCTTGGTTTTTGGTTTTGTGTTGTCTTTCAAGAAAAACACCATTCGCCCAAACAATAAAAACATACAAAACATCACAATGAATCATGAATTTTCTTGAGGCAAATCACAAATCAAGTAGAAAAAAAGCCCCATTGTTGTTTCTATGTAATTAAATTCACAAATTTTTGTGGTCTGTTATTTTTGTGGCTGAAAATTGCATTTTCAGATCGCATGAGCGCACGCAAGAGGAACTCGAATTGGTATTTGAAGAGCTACTTCATATTGCAGCCTTATCACATCTATCAACATCAATAAAACGGGAATTGGCATCAATTATTGTGTTTGAGGCACATGCTTATGCGGGCACCATTTGTAAGTACTTGAACATGAACAACAGACATTTATCACAATATAATATAATATCGTTTTATTGCTGCTCGGAGAGTAAAAACCAATTATGATTCTTATTTCAATACACAGCCATTCGGCTACGTCGTTCTTTTTGGCAGTTTTGACAGCTTTTGCACACGTACACTTCAACCAGAAGATATTGTACGATTTGTGAATAATCTATTGAATCGTGGACAATTGACTCCACGTCAGCCTCCCACATACCCGCTTCGAAGATAGAGTTTGTTGTGTACACTGTACACATACACAAACACGCAAAATACACAATCAACACAATTGGATACGCACACATCTCAAACAAACGCACAAAAATCAATAATTACTCATGGTTTTCTGTCTAAAATAAGCATTAACATCATCTATCTATATTCGTTTTTGCCTTGTTCCCTGGCATTTTCTCATTTCTGATTTCAAAAGCTGAACATAAAATCGGGTTTAATTTGTGACAAGTGGAAGCACAATTTACAATTAAAGTAGATTGTTTCATGGAATTTAATTAACAAATAAATCGCATTTCCTTTTGGACATTGAAGTGTTTTTGAAACATTCAAAAGCAACAACTCTCAATCCATAAATTGTTTGAAAAGTGCTACAACCATTTGGTTAATGATCATGGTCGTTTTTCATCTCGTCATTTTGGCAATTGCTACTCTGTGTCACTCTCTCTCTCTCTCTCTCTCTCTCGCACTGCTACTATCTTAATCGGCCCGTATCGTCATATTTTGGCATTTCCAAGCCATCATTAATAACGTCTCATTAACACTCAGAAGTCACTGTCGATCGAATATATGACAGATGCCTAGCATCAATGTGTTAACGATAACTAATCTTAATAGTTATAAACGTAATTAAACCTTTTTCTCTCCACCTCTTCAACTTATTTTATGGGTTTTTATTTTCATTTGCTCGTTTTTGCTGTTTGCATTTCCTACACCAAAAACAACAACATCAACGTTATGTTATTATGTCGATAAACAATTTCTGCCGACGAAAATACGAAAACAAACAGTATTTAATCAGGGCGACGAAGGACGTTCATGGTACATTATACTAAAAGGATCAGTTGATGTGGTAATTCATGGCAAAGGAACGGTCGCTACACTAAAAGAAGGCGATGATTTTGGAAAATTGGCACTCATCAACGATGCTCCAAGGTATGTTAACTTTCATTCACTCTCTCTCTCTCTCTGCCCCCCCTTTCTTTCTCTACATTCAAAATATGCTGTATGTTTCTGTCTTATACTTGAGGTCTACACTATACGGCTCATTAAAATATGATTGATATGAAAATATATGTTAATTTCATTTGCCATATTTTTATGGACCCTTTTTACCGACAGCAACAATGACGGGAAACTTCGTTTTTTCTTTATCAAACACACATAGTTAATATAGATATAGATTCAAAAGCGAAACAGTTTGTTTGGAAAGCTGAAATGCAAACGAACCGACTAAAGAAAGAGTGCCAATTGAAAAGCATCTTTTTGATTTATTTTTGCGTCTAAAGTGTTGAGTGAATTTCCGTTTCATTTAGGTTTCGGTAAATTTGATAGAATTCTTGGAAATTTATGAAATTAGATATCTTATTGTGTTTTATGTACAAGCTGCCTCAGAAAAAAAAAACGCTGTGTTGCTTCTGTTCGCCATCGCCTTGTCAGCCATATAAATGTTCAATGTGCTTTAAGATCACTTTTATAAATATGGAACCTCATTTGAAAATAATTCAATTCAATTACCCGGTCAGCTTCTTTTCTCTCCTCTGTTTTTCTTTTTTGATGATATCATTAGTACGTCCTTCATTCAGGGCTACTATTCCTATGACATAATGTGAGTTCGCGTTAAAATAATCAACACTAAAATCAAATATGGCATCAAATTGATTCGATGTAGAGACCCACCAAAACAGCCTCTCACTCTCGCCTACCATTCAACAAATATTTGCTAACGTTGTAATTTTTTTATTCTTTCATGTATTACTCTCATATTCTCTTTTTTCTTTTCATTCTTTGCCTAACTTATGCTTGGCTTTTACATCATTTAACGTGCTAAAAATCGTGTACAACTCAATATGAATATGTGAATAAATTGTGCTGCGTGTGAATGTTACAGAGCTGCCACAATAGTACTAAAAGAAAATAATTGTCATCTTGTGCGCGTCGATAAGGAGCATTTCAACCGAATATTGCGTGATGTCGAGGCGAATACATTACGCTTACAGGAGCATGGAAAAGATGTTTTGGTTTTGGAACGTGTTGCCAAACAACGAGGTTTTTCCTCAGCATTTAAGTAGGTGTACCAACTTCTCTTTATATTGGAATGAATTTTCATAAATATATATATATATATAAAATATAAATGCTTTGCCGAAGCGAAATATGCGAGCGATATGAAGAAGTTGAAAAAGATGAAGATGATAAAAAAGGAAACACGCCGATTCGAATGTGCGTACTGATACCGATGTACTTACTTTATGGTATTGTATATTGGTTTCCAGGCGTGCTGTGTCAATGACAACACAGAATAAATATGATATGGCTGTTTCGGTACGATAAAGTGGATATGAATGAGTGATATTCGAACCACCATTGAAAATCATCTTTTAATGAGCTTTCTTTACCGCCTCTTCTGAGTATTTGATTGCTGTTTATTCACTTTCATTACCGGTGGTAACAAAAAACATTAACGAAAAATATGAATTCGCTGGTGGCTGACACGACTGACTAAAATTCAATTTCCACGCGTTAACATATTTTTCCGTTTCATTTTCACAATTTACAAATTTTAACAAAATTAATTTTATACTTTATAGTCGGTATCATTGACCGAAACGTTATCGATTGAATCTTTTTTTAATCATAACCAACTAATTGAATCGCATCGAAATGGCAACATATACATAAATGGTGTAATGGATACGATAAGCGTGTCTCCTTTTTCATCTTAATTATTATTATCTCTTCGACATTAAATTAGATTCTATTCAAAGCAAAAGTTCGGCCATTTATTTCGATTTTGCTTGATAAACTCTGATTGTGATTTATTCGTTTTAGGTATACTGTGATGAGCGGTACACCACAAAAAATGCTAGAACATTTACTTGAGACTCGCTTAGGAGGACAAGTGGGACCAAACGATCCATTCTTGGACGATTTCTTACTTACGCACATTGTTTTCATGCCAGTGCCAATCCTAATCAACGAATTAGCACATTTATATCCTTTTTCTTAGTAGAAAACCGAAACCATTTTTAAACTGAAAATTTACATCTTTTTATTTCTCATAAAACACATATATTCTTTTTTTTAAATGTCATTTGCCACAATGAAAAAAACAAACATTTTCTTTAATCGAAACATTGAATCGCTTGAAACACATTTCACAATGGAGGTAACGAAGAAAATGATTCATCAGCAACAGCCGAAGATACCGAGTATGCATTGACGATGCGAAAACGTGTAATACAATTTGTCCAGAAGTGGGTGATTGCCGTTAGGCAAGCCGTCTTCGAAGAGCCAATAACTGTTGCTTTTATCGAGGTGTGTTATCATAAATTAACAAATTTAAATTTACTTCCAATTGATTTACGTTCCATTGAAAATGGATGACTACGTTCCCACATTTTAAAATGGTGATACGTGCACCTCATTGTCTATTATTTGCATTCAACAAAATTCGCCATCCACCAATTCACATTCACAATGTTGAAATTCTTTTGTTTCGTTTCATTTTATATCGTCTTTAGGAATTGGCAAGCATAGTTGATGCTGATCCTGATTTGCAAGAAGAAGCTGGTATCATGCATCACGTATTAACTCAACTATTAAGATATCAGGTAAGAGTTCGTTCATCGTTATTCAACACGGCGGATGAAGTGGTAGAAATCAGATCCATTTCTTAATAAGAAGATGGAAAAAGAGAGAAAGTCGTTTAGTTCGCAGCGAATTTAGAGGATATGCTTATGCATGTCCCTTGTCACAATAATACCATCATCAGCATTCCGTATTCAACAAGACATTGAATTTCGGTCTCTTAAAGAAGACGAAGAAGAGCGAATGTGTTTGTTGTTGTTGTTGTTTCGGCGGGTACGCAGCATTCTCCATTGTACAAGCGAATAACAAGCATTACAATTGTAGATTATTGCTTCTAATGCGATTCGCGTAATTGTTGTGCTGACATTTTCGCTGTGTAGGAATGTTGTGTGCGACGGAGTGTGCACAAATGTATATTCTTGGGGTGGCTAATGCGACTTCGAAAAGTAGCTATTACGTTGATCTTATCTAATATAATAAAGAATATCGCTTAAATTGTTTCAGCCTGCGGCGTATACGCTGGCGTGTTGAACAGTCAAACATGTTTCTAAATGTGCAATGCCATAAAGTATGATGCCCTCTACCGCCGTTCTAGATTTTGCATCCTCATTTGACATTGACTCATTTTTACGACCATCGCCCGGCCTCTTTTCCCTCTTTCTCTCCAATCACACACAATTGGCGCGATGATGATTCAAATCAAATCGTAGACAAACTAAAATATGTTTTCACCTCTATATATTTTATGTCAAAATGAAAATGAAAAACTTTACCGACCGCACAAATGGTGATGTGAATTTGAATTATAAGTATCATTTTTGCATTCAAATGAATTTGGATTGTTTTCGGTGTTCATTGACTTCGTTGAAAAATGTGCACACTTTGAATTCACATGAGATTTAATGAACGTATACACATTTCAATGTGTTCAACGAGACATCGCCGAATGAACGAATAAACTTTCTTTTGCATAATTATCATTCTCTCTTCATTCCATTCACATTTACATTTGGATTGAAGAAAAAAGTCTTTATTTCAAATTGTTCAGAACGATGAAGTTATGATAATAAGCTCGTTCATTTCCATTCTCTTTGAATTTATTCAACTGATTTTTTTTTTGTGTGTTGTTTTTGTTGTTTCACATTTTGTCTGTTAGGAAGAACGTCAAGCACAAACTGGACAAAAATGGAAATTACCTCCAAATGGTCAGCCAATTTGTTCGTTTTCTGGTAGTGAAAAGCAAAGTCGAACGCCGATTCGGCCTGAAGATGACAGTAAGTAAAATTGGTTTTTCTTTTGCTAGTGAATGTGCATAAATTTTATGTGTATGCACATTGTACACTGCACATATATAAATGTGTTTATATGAACTCTTCAACCGTTTATTCCAGTTATCTTCCGAGTATATTGTGCGGACCACACATATTGTACATTGAGATTTCCGATAAATGCGACGACTGAAATGATAAAAGCGAGCGCTGCCGACAAATTGCAATTGAATCGTGCAAATGAAGATTTGGTGTTAGCCGAGGTTAAATCGAATGGTGAACGTACCATTTTTAAGGATCATGACGTGTCAATACCGACCGCATTGTATTTGAATGCTAGAATTTTCGTTTCATCCAAAGATCATATCGATGCGCTGGTAAGTCATATCTATTTCTCTCACATATATCGTATGTGCGGTCGCGCATTCAATTCTTTTTTTGACTTTATGTTTGTTGCTTTTTTGTATGTTTGTGTGTGCGTGCACGTAATTTAAATGCAGACACCGTTGCCCGAGCAAGAAGAGATCACCGAGGGCATTCCACTGGAATTGGAGCAATTGGGTACCAAAGAATTAGCATTTCATATTACGCAATTCGACTGGGATTTGTTCTGGTCAGTACATGAATACGAATTGCTCTATCATACATTTGGCAGACATCATTTCGGCAAGGTAAATTAAATCGATGTTTCAATCGATACGATTTTATTATCAAACATTAAAAATTAAACGATTAATATCATCAATATTATTGCTGTTTCAATCCTAAGTACCATTATTTTAATTAGTTCAATCGAAATAAAATGGGTTTCAATAGATAGATAGATTTCGATAACGTTGAACATGTTCGCGACATCGATTGTTATAGCAATTATTTTAAATGGAAATTTTCAATTTGCGTTCAATATGCAGCCGATCGAACGCGACCCAAGAATATTTTGGGAAAATGAAAAGCAACGGAAATTGCAAATGCAATGGCACAGCTAACAAAGCCGAAATAAGCGGATTACTGATAGACAAAAACATTTCAATGACGCAGCTGACTTGTTTTTTTTGGTCCACATTGTATCAAAACGTGATATTTATGGAAACCAATCATCGATTTTATTCGCGCTGCCCTTATTAAAGCTCACGCTTCTTACCTCACATAAAAATAATAGAAAAAGAGAAGAAATGGGAGAAATGGGGAGATAAAATGGGAGGGTACTAGCGTACTGAATACAATAAAAAAATGAAAATTTTCTTTTTTTTCTCTCTTTCTCTCTCTCTCCATCTTCCGGAAAATTTGCGCAAAACTCAAAATATTGATATCAAAACAATGGTGAAGTTGGATAATGGAATGCAAATGAACTCATGAATTTGGTGTGCGTGCGTTTGAATATTTTTTCCACCAATTTTTATAAGATTGTTAGAGAACAGGCTTTTCTCTCATTCTCTACCACTCGCTGTCACTCTTTTTGTCACATTCACTTAAAAAACACATATATTTTTTTTCAATCTGCGGCATCATTTCTCTACAATTGAAAGCTCTGATTTCATAATGTTTTTATGATAATATATATCCTTTAATCCATTGTCAATAAAATCACCAAATTGAAATCCTTTCAAATTCAAATGTAAAGCCAACTAAAACGAAATCTGAACGAGACAATTGAGCCTCAGAAACAGACATTGAGAATCTACATGCATGCAAACTGATTTGTTTCACTGAATTAACAAGTCAATGACAAATGAATGGTGGTGATTGGATTGTTCCATAGAATGGCTGGATTTAGTGGCAGTACACAAATTGTTCCGATGGGACACGTTGTGCTAGTAGTATGCCGATTGAAATACCGCTAAAACAGCATTAAATTTATTGAGATATTGAATTCAATCCGTGAATCTCGAATATCATAAAGAATTTATAATATTTCTATTTATTTGTTCATTTCATTTGAATTCACATACAGATTACGGCCAATTTGGATGTATTCATCAGACGCTTTAACGAAATACAATATTGGGTTGTCACAGAAATCGCATCACAATCGAGCATTACAAAACGTGTATTACTGATAAGGAAATTCATTAAATTGGCCGCATAGTGAGTATATAATGTTTATAATTTTACAAATAATAAAAAAAAAACAAATTCGCTAACATTTCAATGGATCGATATGCGATCAAAAAATGAATGAGAACAAATGGGGCTGTCAACATCATACGTGAATGTGAAAATAGAGCAAGCTTACGTTGCTTATTTCATTGTATGTCTCGCCGAACGATGTCGATGAGATGCGTGTGTGTGTGTGTGCGTGCCTCTTGTTCATTCATTTTGCATTCCGTATGATTGACAATAAGCAGCTTTTCAATGTGATTAGCATTGCATGTTTGCGTTGTTCGTGATGTATTTTTTTTCTTTCGTATCATATATTCCTTTTTTATTATTATTTTTTGTATAATATGTTTGTGTATTTTGTGTAACATTGTGTCAATTGCAGTTGTAAGGAGTATCAGAATCTGAATGCATTTTTTGCGGTTGTGATGGGTTTATCAAATAATGCTTGCTCAAGGCTGACACAAAGCTGGGATAAAGTACCGTCAAAATTTAAAAAATTGTTCATGGAATTCGAGGCGCTCATTGATCCAAGTCGAAACCATCGAGCTTACAGGTAGGTTGAAAACTAATTTTTTTTTATCGAAAACAACAAAAATACAATATGAAAACAAAATCATCGCTGCAGCATTGACAGAGCGTACAAGTAGCTTAAATACAATAAAATATTACGATTACCTTGTTTCGCTGCGGGTTTAATTAGTGGTTTGAGAAACTTCATGTTCTCAACATTCAATTCAGTTTAATATGCCATTTTTGATGATGAGAAAGAGAGAGATATTCGCTTTGAAAACAATTGAAATTTGCATATGTTTCCGTTTCTGATTGAATGGCATTGTATTGCTGATTTCAGGAGTTTCGTTGGAAAATTGCAACCGCCTGTTATACCATTTATGCCATTGCTGTTAAAGGATATGACTTTTGCGCACGAGGGCAACAAAACCAGTTTGGATGGTTTAGTCAATTTCGAAAAGATGCACATGATGGCACAAACTATGCGAACAATTCGCTTTTGTCGATCAAGACATTTGGGTAAGTATTTCACATCTTCGTCTTTCATTGCACATCATTTTAACATCAATATCACATTCATTTTATCATTGTTTACTCCAAACAATTGCTTTCACCGCACAAACCAAAATCAAGCTTTAACGTCTACCGTTCTTCCTCTTCTTTCTACATTCCATTTGCGTTCATTTTTTATTTATTCATTTCTATCGTGGGTGGCCTTCTTTCCCCATCTTCCATCATAATCAATTGATACATAAATGAAATTGTTATTATTTCAGTATTGGATCCACCGTCGCCAAAAAGTGAAGGTGATATTCGTGCGTATGTTGGCTGTTTTCGTGTGATTGAAAACCAAAGACAATTGACAATAATGTCACAGAAAATTGAGCCGGGCCGAAGGCAATGAAGTGATTAAAAGTAAAAGTCTCATTTGTCTGTGCACAAATACCACATCAATGGTAATTGTGCTCATTGTCTGAACCGAGCCCTGACAATTTTTTTATTTACATTTTGCGGCAAACTAACCACACACATACATCAATTGTGTTTGTGTGCTCTATTTGGACCAGTTTAAAAGTGGTGTGAATTCATTTCTCATTATAATTGACACTTTTACCATTTAAATTCTCGCTATCAGAATAGATATTTAAGTTAATCACACATGGATTTGAGTTTAAAATCTAAGGATACAACATAACATAAAAAAAATCACTTCATCGAATCCATCCACTGAGAATAAATTCAACTAAAAGCGAATTGCTACATTAAATTCTAGGTAATTATTAAATACTTATCAGAAAAAATGTTTTATATAGCACGGTATTGTTTTTTTCTTCCCCGATTTTTGAAACACCTTTGAAAATAAGTACATAAAATCAAACAACCACACCACATTTCAATGAACAAAAACAATGACAAACCAAAATACAACCATATTTTTAATTGATATTCAAAACGCAATAAATTGCAAGTCTTATGAAAGCAAAAAAAGTGAAACAGAAGAGTATATATATATAATTTAATATATACATTCATACATACAAGAAAATCTTATATACATATTACCGTTGATAGCAGGTTGACAAAGGAATTCATTGGAAAAATAGTATATCCTAGTCTCTCTGCGTTATTAAGTTATATCGTATGATGCATAAAATGTATTTTATCACTGCACATATATGTGTCGAATTGATATGCTGGTTGTAGCATAAAATACAATGAAACGAAGAAGAAGAAGAAGAAGAACCAGTGCGAAAAAAGAGAAGAAACACAACAAAAACAGCAACAACAGCTTACAACAATGTTTAAATGAATATACTATCTGATGTGTGTCAGTGACATAGCAATTTTTAAGAAGTTCCGAGTAAGTTTAAGCACGTACAAATAATCGTAAATAGGAATTAGATATGGTATCGGAAGCAACTGAACGAAATGTCGCAAACGTAAATGTGTAATCATACATGTGTTGATTTGTTCCGTCAACAAATTTATTCTTTCGTTGACTTCACTCGATGTAATTGAAATGATTGTAATGACAATCAAATAAGTAGTTTTATAATGCACAGCACATAAATCAGAGCTGACACTATTTTTCTGTTTGCTGCAACGATATTGAGCATGAAATGTGCATATTTGTAGTTTCAATATATCTCCTTGCCAAACACACTTGCCTCAGTCCCCACCCTCCCCCGAAGTATGGCAGTATAATATTTGTTTTCACGTAGATTAACATTTAACAATTTTAAACTCAACGGTGAGAGTGAGAAAGTGGAATCGACGGATATAATAATAATATGGAAATAAAATTGTGGATCACACACAGCAGCTTTTTTCGCTTCAACAGCCAAACGCTATGAAATATGATTGCGATGTGGTTGTGAATGAAAAAATCGTATAATTGAGACACTTATTTAAAGTGGTTGATTCTTTTCAGCCACTTTAACACTTTTTCTATTTATTTTCAACGTATTTTCACTATAAAAAACTTTACTTCTGTACATAAAAGAACCCCTTCTCTCGTTTCCTCTATTTTTAAGTATAGCTAAACTGATAGAATATAAGTGTGATATGTTTTTAGTTTTACTTTGATTTTCCGCACATACCATACAGCAAACATATCCATTCATAAAATAGTTCTTTGTTTGTTTTCCATTTTTTCGTTTTTCTATGTTCATTTCTTTTTTATTGAGAAAAATCTGTGATGAAAAATAAAGAAAATTTGAGCGATTCAGATGAAAATTGAGAAGAAAAAAATTTATAATAAACGGAATAGAATTTTATTATTTCTCTTTAAATATGATTAAAAAACACACTTTTTTTTATTTTAAATCATAATTTTCTTTAGATTTTGATGTTTTTGTAGCAAAAATTTCATTTTTTATTTCATTTCCATTTAAAATAAAAGTATCGTAAGTATTGAATATACTTCTTGTGTGCCTCTATCAATCTCTTTTGCATTTCCTTTAAAATGGTGTGAAATGTAAATATTTAATAAATCTATCGAATGGAAGTATGTTTTTGTATTCTCTTGAGATCACTCAATTCTCTCTTTTTACGTTTGTTTTTTCTTCCAACAATTCAGTTCATTTGAATGGTAGTATGAAATGGAATTATGTCGGCGACAATGAATTTTCTCACGATCAAAATCCCATATTTCCACGTTTAATTTTTGCAAGTATAATAAATTAAGGAATACATCCAATGCAGTAATGTGCGAAGGGAGGGGGTTTACCCCCCCC